TTGACGCGCCTAGTCGGGAGAGGGATGCTCAGCGTGGTGTTCGGAGGGCGACCCCTTTTGAAGAGCACCGCTGTGCTTTTCGTGGGGTTAATGTCGATGCGCCACTTCCGGAACCACTGTCCCATGGTGGTAGCTGCGGTCTGAAGTCGTCGATGAAGCAACGCCTTCTTCCTACACGAGTAGTAGATGGCGGTGTCATCGGCGAAGAGCGCCAGATGGGTCTCCGGAGACCGGGGTATATCGTTGATATACAAACTGAATAGTAACGGGGAGAGGGCGGAGCCTTGCGGGACTCCGGCTGTGACGTGACGGGGCCGGGAACGCGTTCCCTCGACTCGATATCGGAACGAACGGTTCGACAAGTAGTCTCGTATGATGAGCACGAGTCTGTCTGGCACTCCCATGTTATACAGTTTGTATATCAAACCGTTGTGCCAGACTTTGTCGAACGCCTTCGCTATATCGAAGAAGAGGGCTCCTGTCGGAATGGGTTTCCGCCTGTTCAGCCCTAGTAAGATGTGCTCCGTGAGGCGGTGCACTTGATGGACGCACGAGTGTCTGGCGCGGAATCCAAATATATAACGTAGTGATTGCTTGCCCAGTGTTTATAATCTTTAAATTTTTTATCGAAATAAACGATAGCGCGATGTAATATTTTGGCTTATCGACATCTATTAACAGCGTTATGGAAGCATAATTCTAAATGCAAATTTTTCATATTTATTGGCAGTTTTAAAGATGACATCTGTCATCATCTTTTTTTTAAAAGGATTTTATGACCTGGTGACAAAGATCTTTAGGTCATGTCTTATTTTAATTTATATTATTTTTATGAAAAATTATAATATGTATGGAGTGAAATGAAATGAAATGAGATGAGATGATATTGGATGAATATATTTCATCCCGTTTCAGTAAAATGGTGATTATTTACTGAGACTTTTTCAGAGGGCTTATTGGAGGATCCCCCAATCACGATGTTCGACCAGCCCATACCGTGGGCCCCGAAGGTCAAATACTTAGGCGTCACCCTCGACAGTAGGATGACATTCCGCCCCCACATTAAGACGGTACGCGACCGTGCCGCCTTCATTCTAGGACGTCTCTACCCGATGATATGTAGGCGAAGTAAAATGTCCCTTAGAAATAAGGTGACACTCTACAAAACTTGCNAGAATTTTATTCGCGGTAACGAAGTCCCAGAGGCGTTTCCGAAGGAGCCGTTCGTAAATTTTGCCTATCGCTGGGAGGAGACTAATCGGTCGGTATAACGTAGTGTTTATAATCTTTAAATTTTTTATCGAAATAAACGATAGCGCGATGTAATATTTTGGCTTATCGACATCTATTGACAGCGTTATGGAAGCATAATTCTAAATGCAAATTTTTCATATTTATTGGCAGTTTTAAAGATGACATCTGTCATCATCTTTTTTTTAAAAGGATTTTATGACCTGGTGACAAAGATCTTTAGGTCATGTCTTATTTTAATTTATATTATTTTTATGAAAAATTATAATATGTATGGAGTGAAATGAAATGAAATGAGATGAGATGATATTGGATGAATATATTTCATCCCGTTTCAGTAAAATGGTGATTATTTACTGAGACTTTTTCAGAGGGCTTATTGGAGGATCCCAAGAAGTTCCGTCCAGCAACTTTGTTTCATTTTCCAACATTTGTGCACTTTCACAGATATGAAACAGTTAATAAACCACCGTTATTACACATTAAAACCTGAAGAAACACTAAATAGACAAATCACACAGCTTCACTCCTCGCGTTCCCGCTAAAAAGTCCTGTCATCACGTTAAAGATAATCCATAGATTACATAGAATCATGGAGTTACGTTGTAGGTACTTATTAACTCCATGCATAGAATACACATAATATTTAAAATACTTATCCACCATTGTCAGTTGGAAATGTTTACAATTTATTATTATTACAGTACACTTTCGTAAATTAAAAATTGATCTGGATCCAGACCATATTTGTCAAATCTTATCTTCATTTGTTTTACTATTTTGGAAATAACAATGATGGGAAGATTTTCCACCAAGCGGGTGACATTGTTTCGTTTTTTTTAAGCTGATAGCCTTTAGAGGCTTTATCAGCGTTATCCTAGCGTGTAGGTGAGCTCTCGGGGCTCAAACTGGAGGTGTTGCTAACACTGACCCTAGCAAGAGGCCCACTGAGAAGATTCGGCGAGAAACTCAGTGGGCTGTGTCTGTGGGTTAATTTACTCGCCGAGCAAGTGACGGGTTCGACGAGGACGCTGACCAGCGCGACAGTGCTCCGAAAGCTGATGATGATCTATTACGATGATTATTATTTGTATGTTTTTTTTTTGTTGCTTAGATGGATGGACGAGCTCACAGCCCACCTGGTGTTAAGTGGTTACTGGAGCCCATAGACATCTACAACGTAAATGCGCCACCCACCACGAGATATAAGTTCTAAGGTCTCAGTATAGTTACAACGGCTACCTCACCCTTCGAACCGAAACGCATTACTGCTTCACGGCGGAAATAGGCGGGGTGGTGGTACCTACCCGTGCGGACTCACAAGAGGTCCACCACCAGTGATTACGCAAATTATAATTTTGCGGGTTTGGTTTTTATTACACGATGTCATTCCTTCACCGTGGAAGTCAATCGTGAACATTTGTGGAGTACGTATTTCATTAGAAAAATTGGTACCCGCCTGCGGGATTCGAACACCGGTGCATCGCTACATACGAATGCACCGGACGTCTTATCCTTTAGGCCACGACGACTTCACAAGTCTGCTTGTCTTAAAAATGTTTTAACCATTACATTGTTATCATAACAACATATTTCAACTTCACCAGACTGATGACGATTTATCTAGAATCACTGCAATAGCAATTTTATCTTGCTACAATAGCAATTTTATCTTGCTACTTTGCATTCCCGCCAAAAACAATAGTTTTTTTAAATAATCTACTTACGGCTAACGGCTACGAAGCCTTACAGTCTAACTTAAATATCATTTTTACGTAGCAGTTCACACGTAATTAAATGAAACGTGATGAGATGGATATATATATATTAAAGTAAAGCGAAGCTGTGGTTTTTTAATGAAGCTTGTGGACTTTTTTGAAGAACTTGAAAATCCACGTACAGCAGTTAAGTTTCATTTTTCTACATTTCTCCATAGATGCTAAACAGTTAATTCTGTTATAACACATTTAAAGCTGGAGAAACACTACATTAACAATATAAAACAATTCACGCAACTTCGCTCTACGCGTTCCCCCCCCAAAAGACTCATAATGTTTTTTGTTGACAACTTTACTAATTTGTTTATAAAGTTCCTTATTCACGATCCATCTTGCTGTACGTCCCGCCAAGGCCATGCACGATGCACGATGCAAAACGATCATGAATAGGCTTGACGTACGTCGATAATTATTATTAATTGCGGCCTTGAGCTGACGTACAGCCGTGATGGATCGTGAATAAAGCGCTAAATGCATCGTGCATCGTGCATAGCCTTGGCGGGACGTACAGCAAGATGGATCGTGAATAAGGCACTTTAGTTAGTTTTGTTATAAAAAAAAACTAATCAAATAATCGACTAAATTTAAAGCAAGCTAGAAAGAAATGGAACGTTAAATAGAAAGAGAGAACATCTTTCATCAATGATCAAAAATGGCGTCTCACTGAGTTGTCCTTTTCACACTGCCGCAAACCGACATTTCTCAAATTACACACGGAAAACAAAGACTAATGTTTATTTACATCACAGAATGCCATCGGTTTTCATTTAAAACTGTTAAATACACTAAGTATCAATGAGAATCTCAACTAAGATCATACAATGTCGTTGACTGGGTGCGGCGTTGACAATAAAGTTTATTTAATAGTGTTATAAAATTAAAAATTTAAAAAAATGGACAAGAAAAGTAAAAAGAAGACTGTTATAAAACGTAAAAGTGACGAACCTGGCGAGGGCGAGAAGAAGAAGACTATGGTCAATCGTAAAAGTGACGAAAAAGAAAAAGTTGAAGTCGTGTCGAATCAAGTCGTTGAAGTACCCGTTGAGGGTCAACAAATAGTGCACACTGGCCAGTTAGTCGAAGGGAACTTCGAGCAGCCTGTCTTCGTCAACATGAAAGGGGAGCCAGTGCAGCTCGGTCCGAACACTGTCATCCTTTACGAGCAGAGCGGGAACCCCTCGAATTTTGCCTTTGGCGGTATGTGGACTATGGACTCCTCGGGCAGAATAGTTATGGCAGAAACGATATATGACGTCAAAGGTGAACCGGAAGAGGAGACCGGTAACTTCGTACAAAACAACACTGAAGTCAGTACTGTGAGTAAAATTCTATTTAGATCCTCTTTCGAAGCTCTACAAGGTTGGTTATTGTAGTCTAGGCATACTACTTTGATTATCACCCAAGCTCGGGCTTGAAAACACTAATTAATGATTATAATAACAGTTCTATATTTAAAATTTATATATTTAGATGGTACCTATAAAATGTATAGCGGTACTTGGGCGGCCTAAGTACCGCTGGTCTGACGCTGTGGAGGGAAATTTACGTGAGCTCCAAGTGTCGGACTGGCAAGGTGTTTGTTGCACAGCTCCGAGATGAGTGGCAAAGTTGATTGTCGGAGCCCAAGACCTACTTTGGGGTCATAGGTCTATGGCCATATATTTATACTACTAAGTATAAAATGCATTAATGGACTATGCCACTAGTATATAAAATGAAACAGTGTTTATTTTGTTCATTATATAGTAATAAAGTAGTAATAAGGATTTGAACCTTGAGTATCACTTCAAGAGTTTTAAATAAAAACTACCAAAAAATAAATTAAAGTGCAATATGAAGAAAATGTGTGACCAAAGAATACCTAAGTTCATCATTTTTGCCACGTACCATCACACTTAGGATTGAATTCTGCTCCACGCTATTACTGGAGCTCTATTATGATGTGTACTTCTTCAAATGGAATTGGAAAGCAGTCCTAAGCAGAAGGCAGTAGCTTGGCTTTTCCCCGATCATTATTAATATCTATGAGCAATGATTATATTACTTACTATCAAATGGGCTTCTCTCTATAATAGCAATGCTATAGCATGCTATGCATGCAATGCTATAATAGCAACCACCTGCAGGGTCAATAAATAAGTTGTGCTGGCATGAAGTTTCTCTGAATCCAACCAGTCAAAGCCTTAATATTTAAAATGTAACTTTATACAAAGCAAGTAGCATATTTTTTATTTATTGCTTAGTTGGGTGGACGAGCTCACAGCCCACCTGGTGTTAAGGGGTTACTGGAGCCCATAGACATTTACAACGTAAATGCGCCACCCACCTTGAGATATAAGTTCTAAGGTCTCAGTATAGTTACAACGGCTGCCCCACCTTTCAAACCGAAACACATTACTGCTTCACAACAGAAATAGGCAGGGTGGTGGTACCTACCCACGCGGACTCACAAGAGGTCCTACCACCAGTAATTACGCAAATTATAATTTTGCAGGTTTGATTTTTGTTATTATTCCTTCAGCATGGAATTCAGTCGTGAACATTTGCTGGGTTTGTATTTCATTAGAAAAATTGGTACCCGCCTGGGATTCGAACACCGGTGCATCGCTCAAGACGAATGCACCAGACGTCTTATTTAGGCCACGACGACTTGTAATATGAACCACTTTTAATTCTAGCAACAAGTCACCGAGCAACCGAACACGTTCCAACAGTTTGAGATTAGCAATGTAACTAGTAATAGTAATGTCGAACAGCAAGAATACGAAGTGGCGATCATTGAGAATCCAAATACAGAGACCACGGAAAGGTATAATATTTTTTTGACTAAACTGAACAGCCTTATGTTTTTTTTTATTGCTTAGATTGGTGGACGAGCTCACAGCCCACCTGGTGTTAAGTGGTTACTGGAGCCCATAGACATTTACAACGTAAATGCGTCGCTCACCTTGAGATATAAGTTCTAAGGTCTCAGTATAGTTACAACAGCTGACCCCCCGTCCTTCAAACCGAAACGCATTACTGCTTCACGGCAGAAATAGGTGGGTGGTGGTACCTACCCGTGCGGATTCACAAGAGGTCCTGCCACCAGTAAATTACTTATACAGTCAAAATCTGTTATAACGACATCGAAGGGACTGCTCATATTCAGTCGTAAAAACCGATAGTCGTAACAACCGGTGATGCTTAATGTGTATCGTGCAAGTACGAACAAATCGATAGGGAATTATTAGAAAAATATATTTACATAATACGCGATTTTTCTTCAATATTAATTTGTTTTCTTTTTCTTTGCGACATTTTGAAAGTTTCACGAATAACTCCACAAAGTTTTGGTGCGTCTTGTGTATAGATAAGTAACAAACTAAATGAAGAGATATGAAGAAGCGGGCTTTGACCACCGCATGCACGTGTTTTGTTTTTAAGAATTAGAAAAGACCCTACACTAAATTATATCCTATTGTTTTCTTTCCTGATTTTAATAGCCATTGAAGACAAATGTGGATACCTATTCAAATTGTTTACAATACAGCTTAGCCGGTCGTTCTAACAGATCTAATTCTCTGAAACATTAGTTAAATGTGGTCGTTTTATGAGGTATGTCGTTATTACCAATGTCATAGAAAGCAATATTTTTAATAAGGCGGTCATATGGCATTCAGCCGGGACCTTTGTTCTTGGTTATTATAACCGGCATGTTGTATTAAACGATGTCGCAGTAAACGGTTTTGACTGTATATCATGCAAAACCCAAATTAAAACTGTTATATAATTAAAATGGTCACGTCACTAACAATGCTTAAGACATGCTGCAATACATTGATAATCAGCTTTAGTATCAGCTTAAAAAGGGGAAAGTTAAACAATTATTGGTATTTTGTATATATATAATCTCTAATGTGTATAAAACACATGTATGTGTATGTGTGTCTCATAATGGTTACAATTTTCCTTAAAATGGTTTATAGAAACATACATTGTTCATTCAATTTCAGAACGACAGAAACACAAGTGATCACGACCGAGGAACAGCTAATAGCCGCAGGCACGGGTGCAATCCGCTGGTTAAATCAGAAATATGATTTTGTTGTTAGAAAACTCCAATTGAATTACGGTATGTAAATTATTATGTGTGATTATAATATACTAGAGGTCCCGCAGTAGTCGAAATTCGACTATAATTAATTGGAATTGTAAGTTTGTACACTATTATGATTGTATTTTATACTTCTATAATCACAAATTTCGCCAAGGCTACACTATAAAAAATATTAACAAAGACAAACAATATTTAATCTATTCTCAATTTGACAACAGACGTCAAGAACAAAAGTTTGACAATAAATAGTATGCATGCGTGTGTGCGTCAAATACATGGTATGTAGTGTGTGTAATGTTTTCTTTATTGATTTAATGTATCTTTTATGCATTATTTAAAAAAAAAATTAGCATTTTGCACTTCTTCTCTATATTCTCTATAAGTGTGGGAAATTTCATACTCCTCCGACCGTGCAATTTTCGTAAAAAGGGATACAAGGTTTTTGCTTCACGTATTAATATATAGATAATAATACATATATAGTAAAAACTCTATTTGTGGTTGTGGTTGGAGTTGTATGTCATATGTTTTGTAAATATGCTGCGAATACAGAAACCGTGAATATTGAATGATAATTTACATATATGGGATTATAGGGGATACGTTCAAAAAGAGTTTTTTATTTCATATAAAAAAATTAAATTAATTGAAGTTTTTGACCATATATTCTAGGCATATAACAGTTGTAATAAGGTCTATTTTACTTTTTTAATTAGTCCATTTGACGACACGTTCACAAAGTATTTTAATTGTGGATATAACAATCAGATCTGTAAATAAATATTTTTTTTTAACTGTGATTAAAGGAATTGTGACCCAATTCCTTTATTTTATAATTTGCACATAATGAAAATATTATTAGGTTTTGTAGTTTTTACTGTAGTGCTAGGCATTAAATACCTTTGGCTATGTGTGACTCACTGGTGGTAGGACCTCTTGTGACTCTGCATGGTAAGTATCCTGCCTATTTCGACCATGAATCAGTGATGCGTTTCGGTTTGAAGAGCGGGACAGCCATGGTAACTATATTGAGACCTTAGAACTCATATCTCAAGATGGTTGGCGGCATTTACGTTGTAGATGTTTATGGGCTCCAGTAACCACTTCTATTCTATTCTATTTTTCTAAGATTTGAAAATTTACGTTCCACAGATGCAGGTGTAAAACTGCTTCATTCGCAATCCGGCTGTATACAGTGCATATATCTGACGACTCCGGGAATGCAGTTGGCATTCAACTCAGTGCCGCAGTTCCTTTGCATAGAAACAGGTTAAAAAAAATACAGTTTTTTTTTCTTTCTTTTTCTTAGACGGATGTACGAGCTCACAGCCCACCTGGTGTTAAGTGGTTACTGGAGCTCATAGACATCTACAACGTAAATGCGCCACCCACCTTGAGATATAAGTTTTAAGGTCTCAAGTATAGTTACAACGGCTGCCCCACCCTTCAGACCGAAACGCATTACTGCCAGTAAAAACTTTTTGTTAACTTTACTTTACAACTTTACATTGGCAATGTTCCATTTGAGTGATAGTAAGATGGTGTACTACTAGAATTGTATGTGACAGTCTGACTGTTACTGAAGAGGACATCCTTTTTATTTTTGTGACCGTAAATGTCACTTAAATCTCCTGAACCAAAGTTGATACTGTCTTAGTAAATCAATTACCTGATGTATAACTTATTTATATTTGTAAAGAAAAACCTTGTTTATGCAATTTTTTTAGAAATCCTATTTAATTTTTTAAATTTCTTGAATTAAATAAAGCTGAATTCGTCGTTTTTCTCAATGACAGAGAGTTCAGTTAATTCATATAAGGAAACTTTTTCTATTACTTCTTCTCACTTCACTTTTCTAATATATATATCTAATATATGTATATCTATATCTAATTAAAGAAAAAATATTCTTATATAGATTAACTGACTCTGCTATTGAGAAAAAAACTCGTTATTGAGAATTCAGCTTTATTTAATTCAAGAATACCGTGTAAAGTAATTTGTGGAAAATAAAGGCTTTAAATTAAGTCTTTTATTATTGTTTAACCACTTTTAGATTATTCCATATCATTATATATTCATAACTCTTTTGATAAATCAAGATATCAACTGAATACTATTATTTTGTTATTTTGATACCTTACCATAAGGAAAACCTCAGACTTGAACTGCTTAAATAATCTGTGGCTATATGACCCATGGACCAAATCATTACAAAAATATTCAATTTCTTAAACATAGCATCGTACTTGCTTTTGCATGGCTGTGAGTGATTCACCTTCAAAAAACTAGTAATTTATTATTTTCCTGGTGTAATGTTCAAGTTTGACTATGTCTACTATTATACAAATTATTTACTAAGTTTGATAAAAAAAAAACATTTTTGTGGTATTTTTGCTTAAGGAGATATCCGCATTGTCATAAGCCATACCGATGAAAACCACAATAAATCATAAATCATATAATAATAAAGTAGATAATGACTGAGCATTGCTCGGTCTTTTTTTTTATAAATTGTGTTTTTTAGTAATTATATTTAAATACTAGCGACCCGCCCTCGCTTCGCTTCGGAAACATTAAAACACACATGAAACCAAAAAAATAAAATAATTTTTTAAAAAAAAATGTAGCCTATGTTCATCAGGGACAATGTCGGCTTCTAATGGAAAAAGAATTTTTCAAATCGGTCCAGTAGTTTCGGAGCCTATTCGAAACAAACAAACAAACAAACAAATCTTTCCTCTTTATAATATTAGTATAGACGAATTACATACGAATTACATATTGATAAAATGATAAAATATGAATAATATTTTTCGATCTTACCGACAGAATAATAAAAAAATATGAACTGGTTATTTAAAGAAAAAATCAAAATTATCGATAAATTGAGTTGATTAGTGAAAACACGAATAAAACAACATTTTCCGAAAATAAATCGTAGCCAGATCGAGTTATCGCCCCCGAAATCCCCTGCATACTAAATATTATGAAAATCGTTGGGAGCCGTTTCCGAGATTCAGATTATATATATATTTATATACAAGAACTGCTCGTTTAAAGATATAAGATATACACAACATAAATCCTATAATCATATTAATCTGTAATTATTTCGCAATTTACAGGCATAGAATTCAACAGTCCTATACCGACTACTGGTAATGGCAACACTGCTTCGGTCAAGAACAATGTAACACTATTCTTAGCCGAAGATGGTAACGGGAAATCGGTTATAGTCAGCGCTGGTAAGTTTGTTGAGTCTCTATATCGGGCAAGGATTAATAAGACACGTGTTCAGTTAAGTGACTAACGTATATTGGGATTACAACCTATCGTGCTATCGACAGCCCGACATTCCCGAGACTGACGTACCATCACTACAATATAATTTTTTTTTTATTGCCTTTGTAGGCAGACGAGCATACGGCCCACCTGATGGTGAGTGGTTACCGTCGCCCATGGACTTCAGCAATGCCGGATGGTACGTGGCAAAAAATACCTCTGGAAACGCACTGTGGATGACCGCAGTGGCTCCAGGTAGAATGGATGAACTCTACTCCGGTGGCGGGCGGTGCGATGGTAAAAACGAGATGCCGGTATCATCTCGAACAATTCCTCAGAGCACAATATTATCGCTAACACATACATAATATAATTGTTAGTTTCTAAGGGGACAATTGTGGTCCCTACAAGTTCATATTTAAATCAGGGTAGGATGTGTTGTGAAGTATATTTTGTTCGGTTAGAAAATATTATTGTCTGGAGGGGAATCTATCTCTCTGTCTGGGAGGCTGGCTCCTGAAATGACTATATTTGACCCAGGTAAAAGGGTAATGGATCCACTCTCGGTGCTTTTAAGTTCTTAAAGTCTTTAAGTCTAGAACACAGTCCACAGAACTTATGGTCGGATCTTCTCATTGGGTCGCGATTCCGATCCTGTGGTAGATTCAGCAAAGCACTGCTCTTGCGAGGGCTAGTGTTAGCAAATTCTCTCAAGTTGAACCCGTAAACTCGCCTACACATCCGAGTGTAGCTGGAATATGTAAGAAAAAAAAAGTGAAATGAGAATGAAATTTGTCAGATGGTGATGTTACTAATTATAAACAATGTAAAGTAAAGGATAAGACGTCCGATGCATTCGTATGTAGCGATGCACCGGTGTTCGAATCCCGCAGGTAAGTACCAATTTTTCTAATGAAATACGTACTTGAGAAATGTTCACGATTGACTTCCACGGTGAAGGAATAACATCGTGTAATAAAAATCAAACCCGCAAAATTATAATTTGCGTAATTACTGATGGTAGGACCTCTTGTGAGTCCATACGGGTAGGTACCACCGCACTGCCTATTTCTGCCGTGAAGCAGTAATGCGTTTCGTCTTGAAGGGTGGGGCAGCCGTTGTAACTATACTAAGACGTTGTACGTTACGATGTCCATGGTCTCCAGTAACTACTTAACACCAGGTGGGCTGTGAGCTCGTCCACCCATCTAAGCAATAAAAAAAATGAATGAAAGAAATTATATTATTACTTGTTGCAGTGAATTATATTCTAATATAATCTGTAATAAATATACTGGACTCGGATGCAACTAGGATGTTGATAGGATTGATTAGTATTTTAAAATTGTTTTCAGGAATATCAACATTGATTGGTGACGATCTAACTTGGCTGCTGGAGACGTTTAAATCTTGTAATCCTGCCTGGAGACAAGTGAGATGCGTCGTTTGCGATCCAACGAAATGTCAACAGGTAAACACTCTGTGAAACAACATTTTTTGAGTTTTGAAAATTTTGATCCGATGATAATAGATTTTTTTTACTATACAAACTTTTTTGCTCCAACGCCTTAGGCAATTGTTCTTTTTTTTTATAGCTTAGATGGGTGGACGAGCTCACAGCCCATCTGGTGTTAAGGGGTTAATGGAGCCCATAGACATCTACAACGTAAATGCGCCACCCACCTTGAGATATAAGTTCTGAGGTCTACTAGTTACAACGACTGCCCCGCCCTTCAAACCGCAACGCATTACTGCTTCACGGCAGAAATGGACAGGGCGGTGGTACCTACCCGTGCGGACTCACAAAAGGTCCTACCACCAGTGAAAATATGCCAATGTTACACAAAAATGCGGGTGGTTAGACAAAAAAAATATTCTAAATACAAATAAATTTTATCAGTGTGTTTAGTGCGAGTTTTTTAAAGTTCTCGATAGCGTAAAAGTTAACTCAAAATTAGTATGGAGTTGGAACAGCGCCCCTAGCGGCAAACGTAGGCAAATGCTCCAAGTAAAATTCTAGTAGTCGTCGTGGCCTAACGGATAAGACGTCCGGTGCATTCGTGTTGAAGCGATGCACCGGTGTTCGAATCCCGCAGGCGGGTACCAATTTTTCAAATGAAATACGTACTCAACAAATGTTCCCGATTGACTTCCACGGTGAAGGAATAACATCGTGTAATAAAAATGAAACCCGCAAAATTATAATTTGCGTAATTACTGGTGGTAGGACCTCTTGTGAGTCCACGCGGGTGGGTACCACCACCCTGCCTATTTCTGCCGTGAAGCAGTAATGCGTTTCGGTTTGAAGGGTGGGGCAGCCGTCGTTACTATACTTGAGACCTTAGAACTTGTNATTTTAAGAACAGCCCAAACAAAATATATAGATAATAGTTTTCCATATACAGGGTGTAAACTGACTATGCCTGAAATTTAATTCGGATAACTTATAATTAAACAGTAGTTTAATTTTACTTTAGTAGTTAAATTTCGTGTAATAAAAATCAAACCCGCAAAATTATAATTTGCGTAATTGCTGGTGGTAGGACCTCTTGTGAGTCCGCGCGGGTAGGTACCACCACCCTGCCTATTTCTGCCGTGAATCAATAATGCGTTTCGGTTTGAAGGGCGGGGCAGCCGTTGTAACTATACTGAGACCTTAGAACTTATATCTCAAGATGGGTGGCGCATTTACGTTGTAGACGTCTATGGGCTCCGGTAACCACTTAACACTAGGTGGGCTGTGAGCTCGTCCACTCATCTAAGCAATAAATAAAAAATCAATTTGTTGAATTCACAATTTAAGTTCACAAAGACGCGAAAAAAACCCATACTCTTCTTTTAAAATTCAATACTGTGACCATATCTGGAATCACTTCGTCAAGTAACTTCCTAGCATTGCAAACATAAACACACAGAACCTATTTTTTTGTATATTTAAAAATAGAAAAATGTTTTTTTACCCAATAGATTTGAGGTTCATTTAAGTTTCAATTCCTTCTTACTGCTCACTTCACCCGGTGGTGAAAATATAAATTCTATTTATTTAAAGGAAAAAAAATTGGCTTAAAGGTCTCGTTACCAGAGCATAAAATATTTTGTAAAAAAAAACCGATTGATTTCATGATATAAAATTTACTGTTGTGGCGAGTGAGGAAGTCAACTCGCACATCTCAACACAGCACCGAAATCAGTTTGGAGAGGCTTAAACGACGGAAGGAAAGATCTTCCACCGAGCGGGTGATATTTGCTCAGTAGACCGACGGTCCGAATGTTGTTATTCGGAACTTGTATATATGCAAGCTTATCTTGAAAATGTAAGCGAGATTCAGGCATCTCTCAAATATCTTGCGTTGTACGATGGCTACCCGCCACATGAGAAGACCACAACGCTAGTCAAACTAGAATCCAGAGTACAAATCCGGTGACGCCCAAAAACCCAATCAGGAAGACTAGGAGTGGGAGGATAGACCGATTCCCAAAATACTATCGCCCGTAGTCACGGTCTCGCCGGGGGAGTGGTGTGGCGAGTGGGCAGCACCGAAATCATACTACATATTACGATTTTACATCACATCAGATGATCCGAGTGCCGTGTGCAAAGCCAGTTAAACCACGCCCCCTGCAACATGTCGCCGACGCATCTTATTTGTCGAAGTGGTAAAGACACAAGATGGCCACGCTCTGATCTATTGTTCTTCAGGCGGAGGACATGTTGAAAGTGGCGGCGACTCCTGCGCAAGATTATTATTGATTAAAGTAGAATTATTTTGTCCGTGCAGCTTGGGTCATAAATGATCGGAGCGGTGCAGCGACTATTTCGCTCTCTCTTCCACTCACGAGCCTTATGGACGGGCATAGTGATGCGCATTATTGTTGTCGATAAGCGTTATCGATAGTGTATTTAGTTTTGTCATTTTGTGGGTTAGTGATAAAAATGAAAGTAAAAATCACTAATCGAACACTTACACCACATATCGCCGCAGCAAGTTAACGAGAACGGCAGAAATTAACACTTTATAACTTTTCGGGATCTATTCTTATTGCAGTGAAATTTTTTAACACATTGTTGATAACAACACGTGCAAATATTATTTTGTATAAATTCTGCCGTTTTGATACAAAACAATGGAGTAGCCATTGTGTCACTAAAGAAATTCAGAGAACGCATGCATAAAAACACATTACTCTTCGACATAATGTACTATAATTTGCAGGTAAGTACAAATATCTCACCACCCTTCGTATACCGCCCCGCCGCCCTGTACCTGCCTTCGATGACTCATTTGTTCTTATCGATAGTGGCGTTGCGCCCGCGCAACATGCCCACCGCCCTAGCCGGGCTATGTTTTATGATCCAAACTGCACGGACAAAATAATTCTACTATAGTTTTAATTTTTACTATAAATACGATTGTACCGTAATTGTGATACCGACCATCTGGAATACTTCACTGTTGTATCGAAATAAACTCTCTTCGTGCTTTTTTTAATTTTTTTTTAAAGCAATCATTAGCACTTTTTAATCTTTTTATTTTTATTGCCCGTGTAGGCAGACGAGCATACGGCCCACCTGATGGTGAGTGGTTACCGTCGCCCATGGACTTCAGCAATGCCAGAGGCAGAGCTAAGCCGCTGCCTTTTTTTGCGTTATTTTCAATAGTATGATTTATCGTATTGATCTGTATACGTTTCAGGCGGCCCGGAGCGCGTTTCCATCCGCCCACGTGACGTGCTCGGTGTGGCAGGCGTCAGCGGCGTTCGCGCGCGCCGCCGCCGCCGCCGACGGGCCGCCTCAGCACGAGCTGGCCGCGCGCTGCAAGACGTACGCGCTGGCGCTGCTACGGGGCGACCACACGCCGGCACAACTACAGGTGTGCCACACGCGCTGACTGATGCGACGTCAGACGCCATTTTTTTTTAACGATGGGTGGACGAGCTCACAGCCCACCTGGTGTTAAGCGGTTACCGGATTTTGAAGCCGTCGTGGCCTAAAATCAAACCCGCAAAATTATAATTTGCGTAATTAATGGTAGTAGGACCTCTTGTGAGTCCGCACGGGTAGGTACCACCGCCCCGGCTATTTCTGCCGTGAAGCAGTAATGCGTTTCGGCTTGGAGGGTGAGGCAGCCGTGCTACGTGGCCAGCCCACTTAAACTTCAGTCTTTGAGCATATTTGAGAGCGTCCACTGTTTTGGTTATGCTTCTTGTCTTTTTATGACGGACTCTGTGTGTCTTTTTTATGTTGAGCATGCTGCGTTCCATTCCCCTTTGGCACGTTGGATGAAATATAATCTCAGTAAAATGGTGGTCATTTACTAAGATTTTTTCAGTGGACTTTTTGGCGGATCCCGAGAAGTTACGTTCAGCGGCTCTGTTTCATTTTCCCACATTTGTGCATTTTCACAGATATTAAACAGTTAATAAACCACCGTTATTACACATTTAAACTCGAAGAAACACTAAATAGACAAAATAAAACAAATCACACAACTTCACTCTTCGCGTTCCCGCCAAAAAGTCTTTCTATATTTTTTACTCACAAAAGTTTCATTTTTACCTCCCAAAAATTCATTTTACACCATTTGGGATAATTTATCCCGGTTCCCCGACCGCTGCCCTATAGCTATACGCTGATAGCATAAGATGCTCATTTAGAGAAACCGGCACGACACGAGAACCCTCTCGTCGTGGCCGCCGGTAACTACATTCCCGATCCTGCGGACAGAATGGAAAGCAGTCGACGTCGCCCCAAACACGTCATTACGGATCCTCTCGATCCACTATCGGTGCTTTTAGGTACCTCAAGCACCGGTCACCGTCCTCGTCGAACCCGTCGCTTGCGACGAGTGAAATAACCCTCAGACACAGCCCACTGAGTTTCTCGCCGGATCTTCTCAGTGGGTCGCGTTTCCGATCCGTTGGTAGATTCTGCGAAGCACGACTCTTGCTAGGGTTCGTGTTAGCAACGTCGTCAGGTTTGAGCTCCGTGAGCTCACCTACTAGTTAAGGTTACGCTGCAATAGCCTCTCAAGGCTATCAGCTTAGGTAGGAAAAAATAGTACATTGTACACCAATGTGTGCGTGTTTGCCAACCTCGCCTTCGGCTCGGGTGGCAATTTTACACGCGGGAGGAAATGTCCAACTTTATGGGTAATTTGCAGTATTGTGTTTAGTGTAAAAGTGAAATAAACAAAAGTCAATAAAATTGAATAGTGAAGTATAAACAAAGATGAGTTCATCAGACAGTTCTTATTCAATTAGTAGTAGTTTATTTAAAAATTCAAAAACAGTTAAATTGTTTTTTATGAGTGGGGGGCTACGCCCCTGGACCCCGGCTCAGAAGTCCACGGGTGCTAAGTTTTTTACAATGTCCAACTTTCGGCCTGATAGGAGAAAAAAAAGTATGTGCACCGCGGAAAAAAAGTAGGACATCCCATCCCGCGTGTTTGCCACCCTCGCCTTCCAAATTTTCTCCCTTGGTGCACAATGTACTATGCTGCTGATAACTAATCCTCCTCATTTTTTTTTCACGACGAATATTATCATGAATTTCAGGTCCTCAAACGCGGTACTGTCTCCGGTAGCAATAATGCTATCAACGCCCGACTGTGGGACACGTTGTCCAGGCCTTCCGGCGCTCTTTCCAAGCTGGACACGTGGCTGGAAGCCGACAACTACACTAACATCCTGCACAAGGTGATGATTTTTTTGAGGGATTTTATGACCTGGTAACTAAGACCTTTAGGTCAAGGTCAGTCATTTTAATTTGAATGAAAAATTTTTATATGAAAAGTTATATTATGAAATGAAATGAAGTTGATTAATATGAAACACGGCATAAAATGAAATGGAAACGAAATGAAATGAAATGAGATGAGTTGATATGGGATGAAATATAATCTCAGTAAAATGGTGGTCATTTACTGAGATTTTTTTAAGTGGACTTTTTAGAGGATCCCGAGCAGTTACGTCCAGCGGCTTTGTTTCATTTCCCCACATTTGTGCGCTTTCACAGATATTAAACAGTTAATAAACCACCGTTATTACACATTTAAACCTGAAGAAGAAACACTAAATAGACAAAATAAAACAAATCGCACAACTTCAGCCGTCGCGTTCCCGCCAAAGAGACCTGCATAAGGTGATCATATCGAAGCAGTGCTGCCAACCCTACATTTTTAACTGTAGATCTACAGTTTTTCGGAAATTTTCTTAGTTTTCAGTTTTGAAATCTCGAAATTTATAGTTTTTTATGTAAGATGCTAGCGTCATCTATTTTATTAGTCCGTATATTAAGTCAGTTTTTTTTATTGCTTAGATGGGTGGACGAGCTCACAGCCCTACTGGTATTAAGTGGTTACTGGAGCCCGTAGACATCTACAACGTAAATGCGCCACCCTCCTTGAGATAAGGCCTTCTAAGGTCTCAAGTATAGTTACAACGGCTGCCCCGCCCTTCTAATCGAAACGCATTACTGCTTCACGGCAGAAATAGGCGGGGTGGTGGTACCTACTCGCGCGGACTCACAAGAGGTCCTACCAGCAGTAGAAGCTTCAAAAAAACGGTAGAAAACTAAATTTCAAATAAAAAACAGTAAATCTACATTTTCGGTAAATATTAAACGCATTCCTTCGGTAAATATTAAACCGTGTGACTGGTTTTAATTAAGGTTTGAATTGCTTATTATTGTTAATGTGACGGCTTCAAAGTTCGCTCGTGACGAAACACCGTCAGATTTGGATCGCCGATAACTACGTGATTCTTCTTCTTGTTCGTCTTGTCCTAATCCCACATTATGTGGAGACGGTTCAGCTTATCCTATGATCAGGCTGCAGAGGGACATGTCATGTGTTGCGCGAGCAGTCGCCTGCTGACGTCATCAATTCAAATTCAAATTCAAAATCATTTATTAGTAGTTTCCGTCATCACTCGTATTTGGTTGAACTCAGTTTATAAAAAGTCAATAAAACCTTTTGAATAATAATTATTGAAACTCAACACACACAACTTTCACAATGACAGGGTAAACCGACAGTTTCGTTCCACATACCGACAGACTGACTGCCGGAGACTCATTGACTGAGACGGACGGACCGTCCGATACGGACTGAATGACTGTCTGATACGGAATGCCACGACTCTGTCCACGTACCGCCATTTTATACTGTGGCGTTACGGAGTCTACCCTACATTTTGTGATATTTATCAAAACAACATTTCATCATTTAATATAATAGTCAAAACAACGTCTTAATATTACTAAAAGTCGTTAACCACGACATATATATTAATAACTACGTGATTTTAATAATCCGTAAACAGTGATCGATCCCGCAACTGAGGTTCGTGATGTTATACGAATTTGCGTGTCTGGCAACATTCCGTGAATAATGTAAATAACGGATAGAATGTTACCAGCTGTACAGTCCACCAGTAGTGCCCGCTTGTCTGTATATATTATTTTTGCCTATATTTTACGATCCTTCTAATTTGAAGCGGTGACTCTAGCCCGCGGATAACGTGAAAGGCCCTCCGCTGACGTTGAGACATGAGGTCGATGTCTCAATTGTATACTATGACGGTTGAGACGTACCTCCCCTCCCAACCCCTTCCCGAAATGACCGTTTCCCGACAGAAACAATCAGGCTAGAACAAAATAAGCTGAACATCTATATACTAATAAATAAATCTACAGTGGTTTTATGGACGTTCCGTTATAACTACTGAACCATGCATCCGATTGACTTGAAACTTGGTATCCACGTAGAAAATACATGTACCTAATGGATAGGCTAATATTTATATGGGTGTTGGACTCCCTACACCAGTTGCGGGGGTGTTAATGATGAGAATCTTTGTTGGGGTGAGAAATAATAATATCAATTTTAAATGCCCAGCGAAGTGGACGGGTACAGGCAGTATAGTACTATGTTTCGTATTTAACATTGTGCCTTCTTTGATTCCCAGGGCTTAGAACGGCTGACAACGAAACTGAATGGCCTGATCCGAAGCGAGATGCAAACGGACGAGTTCATACCGATACTTTTCAGTGTTGCCAATCAACTAGAAGAGGATCGAAGGAATTTCGCTATCAGCCGGCTAAGGGTATGCTTCTCTTTGATACTGCTACGCGCTGAGGTTCAGATTATATAAATCTTCCGACGTGGCCTAAAGGATAAGACGTGCGGTGCATTCGTATGTAGCGATGCACCGGTGTTCGAATCCCGCAGGCGGGTACCAATTTTTCTAATGAAATGCGTACTCAACAAATCTTCACGATTGACTTCCACGCTGAAAGAATAACATCGTGTAATAAAAATGAAACCCGCAAAATTATAATTTGCGTAATTACTGGTGGTAGGACCTCTTGTGAGTCCGCGCGGGTAGGTACCACCGCCCTGCCTATTTCTGCCGTGAAGCAGTAATGCATTTCGGTTTGAAGGGTGGGGCAGCCGTTGTAACTATACTGAGACCTTAGAACTTATATTTCAAGGTGGGTGGCGCATTTGCGTTGTATATGTCTATGGGCTCCAGTAACCACTTAACACCAGGTGTGCTGTGACCTCGTCCACCCAGCTAAGCAATAAAAAAAAATAACTTCCACCGAAGTACAAATTAAAACTCTATTCAAAACTCTTAATTCGCTTCAGGTGATCCGTTCGCTGCTTCGCTTCGAGTAGATCCGATTATTAACTGCCTTCGTGACATCCCTGCAACGCTTTTATAGTCGCTACGACATCTCTAGAATTATCGATAATATTCCACACAAGTCGAGTATTGTGTTTCCGCTATGTGACAATAGATGGCGTTGTACTTTTCGAGCGCTCTAGATGCTGCTGGATCCTTCGATATTCGTACGACTATTCGTCGATAGACGGCGTTACTCTTACCGGCGTAACTGTATTAACAGATCCTTGTATTTTTTTTCGCAGGACACCGAAGCCTTGAAGCAATCTCCGACGGATACGATAACTCAGTACGCTTACAATCTGATGAGCCACCAAACGAAGTTGGCTCAAAGTTGTCTGGACGACAGAGCCGGCAGGTACACTGTCCTTCTCACTCATTCGCGAACCATCATAAGCTGGTACCTGACTGTGCTTTGGAATTATTCGAGACTAGCAGAGTCCCGCGACGTTACCCGCGATTATTGTGGTACCGGGGGTAATGCCGCGGGGCGAAGCTAGTCTAAAAAAAGTAGCCTAAGTTACTCCTTACATCAGTAAAAGTCTCGTCAAAATCGGTCCAGCCGTTTCAGAGATTAGCGCCGGAACAAACAGACAGACAAAAAATGTTATTATGGTGTATGTACCGCATATATGAGGCCGCCAGCGCAAAAGTGACCTAAGCTTATCATAGTTAGTATGTATATCATATGTATAGTATATCATAGTAGAAAAATAATGTTTACAAAGCTATCTGTTATCTAATTTGAAGTCGCCGCGGCCTAACGGATAAGACGTCCGGTGCATTCGATTTCCAGATTTTTCGTTTTTACATTGAATGAAAGTGTTGTGTGCCTATAAACCATATTAGACCTTAAAGCTCTGGGTTTATAGGCTATTTTTTTAAATTGCATGCGATGAAGGAGCTATGTACGAAGAAAAAGTACAAGTAACAAGAGTATTGTTTGCCCGTTTTCTCAAAATTAACAAATGGTATCATCATATCCCCTTCATCCACTCATGCCTTCAATTTTTCTAATGAAATACGTACTTAAATGCTCACGATTGACTTCCACGGTGAAGGAATAACATCGTGTATTAAAAATCAAACCCGCAAAACTATAATTTGCGTAATTACTGGTGGTAGGACCTCTTGTGAGGCCGCGCGGGTAGGTACCACCACCCTGCCTAGTTCTGCCGTAAAGCAGCAATGCGTTTCGGTTTGAAGGGTGGGGCAGCCGTTGTAACTGTACTGAGACCTTAGAACTCATATCTCAAGGTTTATTTTTATTGCTTAGACAAGCTCACGATCGCTGGTATTAAGTGGTTACCGGAGCCCATAGACATAGGCAGGGCGATGGTACCTACCCGTGCGAACCCACAAGAGGTCTTACCACCAGTAAAAATTTAAAGTACGTTGCCCCCACAGTCCAGTGTTGAAATGTAAAATTGTTCCCAGAAGACACAGCAGCGCGGCCATCTGCAAATACGGCACGTCGACCCAGGAGTGCTCGTGCCTATTCAGCAAGGTGTTCCGGCTTCCGTGCAGACACATCCTCATGCTCACCACGGAGCTGAAGGTGAGCACGCGAGGAATAGTTCAGCAGTGCGCAACGGCTTTGTTCCGTCCCTGGCATTGCTGAGGTCCATGGGCGACGGTAACCACTCACCATCGGGTGGGCAATAAAAAAAAACGCGTAACGACTGCCCATTCCCACATCGGGCAATAATATACAGTATGCGCGCGAGTTCATGTCCATCGGGGCCAGAGGCGACGCGCGGGGGACAGCTGCCCACTTTCACCCGCCTCCCCGCATTTGTCTGACGTCGAGTGTTGTCCGTGACGGTTGTGACGAGCGTTTATCGATATCGAAAATTTACGCTAACACTTTTGCGTTATTTAACCATGACTACACCGCTTCCAACAAGTTCAGGTAGAAAAAAACCTACTGAAAAAAGATAGATACATACTGATTCCGACTCTGATCTGTCGGTTGTCTTTTCATTTGATAGTGATTGAATTGGAATTTAAAAAATATTTTTCTTTATTAGAAATAAACAAGCAGTTACTTATAACATTTATTTTATTTCATAAATTGCAAAATTACCTTAAGTTACATTAAACTAAATTGACAGCTGTTGACTAAATCGGTAGTTATTATCGACATTACCATAATTAACTAGATCACAGCACTAGCGCATTACTCAGGATGGACATGAACTCGCGCGCCTACAGTACATAATATGTCTTTCAAGTAACAACAAAAAAAAGGTAACTTTAGAGGCGAATCTCAGAAAAAGCGTTTAAAAAAAACACGGTAAATATTTGTTCATGTGATCGACCTAGTGAATTTCAGGTCTGAAAAAAAAACAGACAGACAACGAACGTCAAATATATTTAATATTGTTACGCGCTGGGATTCGGGATAAATAAAAATTATACCGAAGTACAAATTAAAACTCTATTCAACAGTTAAAAACACTTTAAAATTCTCAATTCGCTTGTTCCGCTTCGCTTCAGATGATCCGTTTAGTGTTTCCCTTCGAGTAGTTCCGATTACTGACTGACTGCGTGCCATCTCTGCAACGCTTTTATAGTCGATAAGACATCCCTAGAATTGTCGAGAACATTGCTCACAAGTCGAGTATTTTCGATGTGTATTTCCGCTGTCTGACAATAGATGGCGTTGTACTTCTCGAGCGTTCTAGATGCTACTAGATCCTTCGATATTCGTTCGACTATTCGGCGATAGATGGCGTCACTATTACCGGCGTAACAGTATGTAGTATATATCGAGGGGCGAAGGGCTATTTATTTGGTTTAGGCTACATTTTTGCAACTTTACAGGAGAGCCATTTGAAATTTGGATATTTTTTTTATCATAACAAAGAAACTTCAGCTATTTGCATGGAGTAAACATAATTGAAGTTCTATTATATATATATCGAACTGTTGATGTTAATAATACCAAACAAAACGCATCTTTAATTAAAAAGATAAATGTCGCGTATATCGCGTCACTATGGAAGACAATGCCAATGACGAAAAGAATGGCGTCAGTAACGCTGATGTCATCATATTAAAGCACCATGGAACTACCCATCATATAATATTGTAAAATATATTATGTTATTACATAGTCGAGGCCCTCCGCGATCTGGAACCAACGCTACCCTATATAAATAAGCCCTTGCTGTAGCTTCACTAGTCCACCGAGTTTCTCGCCGGATCTTCTCAGTGGGTCGCGTTTCCGATCCGGTGGTAGATTCTGCGAAGCACAACTCAAAGTAGGGCCAGTGTTAGGAAACTCTCTCAGGTTGAGTCCGTGAGCTCACCTACACGCTCGGTGAATCTACTATGACCACTGGAGGTCACAAGATTAGGTAGTAAAGAAAAAAAATAACTTTTTTTATGCATGGTGGTTCTTGTTGAGATTTTTGGTCTAATTTTAATAGTTTGTCGTTGACAGTATATTTAGGCTAACTCGGTGTTTTTTTTTTAAGGGATTTTATGACCTGGTAACTGAGACCTTTAAGTCATGTCTTATTTTAATTTATATTCATATTTTTATGAAAAATGATAATAAGGAGTGAAATGAAATGAAGATGATTAATTTGAGACATTAATCAACTGGGATGAAATTAAATGATAGAAAATGAGATGATGGGATGAGATATAATCTCAGTAAAATGGTGGTCATTTACTAAGATTTTTTCAGTGGACTTTTTGGAGGATCCTGAGAAGTTACGTCCGGCGGCTTTGTTTCATTTTCCCACATTTGTGCACTTTCACAGATATTAAACAGTTAATAAACCACTATTATTACACATGTAAACCTGAAGGAACACTAAATAGACAAAATAAAACAAATCACACAACTTCACTCCTCGCGTTCCCGCCAAAAAGTCCCTAACTCGGTGTGATTTTTTTTTTTAAACTACCTCACTTCTCGATATTATAAAAAAAACAACACATAAAATATATAGTATGGTATTGTATTTTCAGGTCAAAACTCATATACCGTTCGAACCCCGTTGGACCGTACAACACTGCTTGTTTGGATGTGAAAACAACACGGCCACCACTACGAATAATACAGGTAATACAGGCTTCTTACTGGTGGTAGGACCTCTTGTGAGTCCGCGCGGGTAGGTACCACCGCCCCGCCTATTTTAGCCGTGAAGCAGTAATGCGTTTCGGTTTGAAGGACGGGGCAGTCGTTGTAACTATACTGAGACCTTAGAACTCGTATCTCAAGGCGGGTGGCGCATTTACGTTGTAGATGTCTATGGGCTCCAGTAACCACTTAACACCAGGTGGGCGGTGAGCTCGTCCACCCATCTATGCAATAAAAAAAGGTAAATTAATTCGGTTGGTAAGGCAGGACCGTCGATATACAATTGAGGCTTTGATCCGATTTAACAAGCTGATGTCCATGGGCTCCGGTAAACGCAATACCCCTCAGAAGCGAGATGAGGTCGTGTGATGCAATAAAAAAACCTTTTGTGAGATCTGCGGTCTGGTCGCTTATTTTCACCACAAATGACGTCATAGGTAGTCTAGTTTGAGTGGCCATTTTGAAAAATAAGTATCCTTTAAGCTCATTACATTAATATATCAATTTATTTATTTATTAGGCACACAATACACATTGCAAGCTCAAAAGGTACACAAAAAATAATAAGTAAAAAAAAGAAAAATCTGGCTTGCAACTTAAGCCATGTGCTCACGACTAAGCAAGACAAATATGCTGAGTTAGTACACAATGTTATAAATAATGAAATAAAAATTGAACAATTAAACTACTTAACTATGGAGGGTAGAGTTAAGGAGAACCGTCTCTGTGTGTGAAAAGTGTCCATTAAAATCTGTTAAATAAGGGTGGCGCTACAGTAGCAACCGGGTAAATTTAAAAAAAGGCGCTGAAAGTTATTTTAACAAGATAGAGAAATAAAAAGGGACGAAAGAACTGTAAGCACTACAAAATGACAAAAAGTATTTTATTTAAAGCCGATAAGAAAATGCAATCGATGTCTCAAGGTTTTATCACAGCAATAATTTTAGGTTATATTGACGAAATTAGTTTGGACTACGTAAACATGTGAGTCTTAGGTCTTGTATATAACACTGTCACTAACTACTCTAGTCATTAAATATATTAAATTTCCTAACTCAGCATACTTAAATCGGTTAACAACTGCTCAATTCATATCATACCCTGTGCCTATGCTAGCGCCATTCTGGAGGATTTTTGAACTGTTATTTAGTGCTGAAAGTGTGACACTTTTTCAAGCTTCTCCCATATGAGATGGTTCTCCTTACCTCTACCCTCCATATACTCAACCTACTATTAACATGGAGGATAACATTGAACATTTTTATTAACGTCACTAATCTACAATTAAAAATGTCGTAACTCAGTTAAAGATTTTTTTTACGTAATTGGATAAAAAAAAACTTCAGAGGTGTCAAGGGACACCCGGATGGAACGAAGTTCCTTTCGATTAATTAGTGAAGGAATTGTAATTTTTTTTTTAGTTATAATAATAAATTACGGCATTATGAAGAAGAAAAAAACAATACTATGAACTAAATTACTATTGTTGAAACGCTATCTCGAGAAACTGTACTCATTACGCGGACCAATCGGATACGAGCAATGTCACGCGATAAGCGCCTACACGTTGATTGGTCAGAATGACGGATCTAAAAAGTGTCGTGACAACTTTTCGTAAGATTTTTTTCCGTCTAGCCCCCTTTCACAACGCGCGATAAGGAACTTCGTTCCAATATGTTAGAGCAACTCACGGATTGCCATTCAAAGGACGCTACGGTAATCAGTCGGTTGTCATTAAAACTCAATTATTTTAGTATTTTCGATTTATTGATGAGGTTACCTATTAATAACAGAAATCCTGTCGCGGGAGTGGCGTCACACTAGTATGAAATCACCAAGTACCACTAGCAGTAAACAAACAAAAAATACCTACAATACAATACCTACTTTTATTGGCTCTGTTAAGGCGAATTTACATTACGAAATTAGTGGCGTGAAATTAATTTCGTGACATTAGTTTTACTGACAGTTTCACGTGTAATTTAATACTTTCGTAATGCATGCATTCATTTCATGCATGGAAATTAGTTTCGTGCCCTGCGCGATTTTTTGGTGAAATTAATGTCATGCAACTAATTTCATAGTGTAGACGCGACGTGAAACTAATGTCGCGAAAGGGCCTGCGCTGTGCGGACGTGGGTATTGTTAGTTCGGACGCGCTTCAGCCTTGAAAATGGCAAACCAACGATGGAGTACAGGAAAAAATTAGATCTTATTAATGAATATCAGCGACAAAGGTATCTCTGGGACCCGAAACACCTACAGTAAAAAAAATCAAAATTATCTTCACTCATTCGAAAATAGTTTTTATAACTCTCAGATGAAGATCTGCTAATTCAGAGACTAACTTCATTGCACCTAAATGCCTTCTTGTTGACCATCCTCGAATCTACCAACTTTTTTTTTCCTTGATAGTCTTTTTTTAAGTTTATAGGTATATAAGCATTTCTTTACCTACATTGAATATAGGCAATTATAGCTTTGATGCTGATGGCGTCATGGTTACTGCGATACTGTGGATTTCGCGACACTAATTTTTTAACGAAATTACTTTCGCATATATCGAAACTACTTTCGTGAAACTGAGCTCAACATGCATGATACTAATTTCGTAATGTAAATCCGGCATTAGACAAAGACTTTTACTTTCCGAAGGTGACCAAGAGATGTCGCTAGTAGAAAAATTAAATCGCGCCAACGAAAAATACACATTTTTTTAACATTTGAAAGGCTCGCTTGTTGTAAGCCGTCAACAGATGGCGCTAGTAGAAAAAATAACTCGCGCCACCGATAAGTCACACGGATTTCTATGTATAGTGTAGCGGAGTCAATCTCGTCGATGTCTATGGGTTAAGACGGTGACCACTTACCATTAAATATTTTTGTTTTACCACATTCACTGAAGAGTCAGTGATCCAAATGTGGTTTCATAAATTGTGTAATAAATTAAAAACTTAATTAAAATAACGATTTTACTGAGTTTCTAGCCAGATCTTCTCAGGGGTCGTGTTTCCGCTTCCGATGGTAGGTTCTGCGAAGCACTTCACAGCTCTTGCTTAGATAGAGCCAGTGTTAGCAACACTCCCGGTTTCATATCCAATCCTGTGGACCGAATGGTAAACAGTCGCCGTCGCCCTAAACACGTCATTACGGCTCCTCCCGATCCACTAGCGGTGCTTTTAAGGTACCTCAAGCACCGATCACCGTCCTCGTCGAACCCGTCGCTTGCGACGAAAGGCTCGGCGAGTTAATTAACCCACCACAGACACAGCCCACTGAGTTTCTCGCCGGATCTTCTCAGTGGGTCGCGTTTCCGATCCGGTGCTAGATTCTTCGAAGCACGGCTCTTGCTAGGGCCAGTGTTAGCAACGTCGTCAGGCTTGAGCCCCGTGAGCTCGCCTACTTATTTCAGCGGCAGGAATTAATTTACTTACTATCGTTTCGCGATCAAATCGTCACGTTCTCAAAACTCTAAATTTATACTCACACTAGCGGCCCGGCCCGGCTTCGCTCGGGTCTTTAACAAAAATTTCAACGACGTTGTTTTATTTTTTTTAAATAAAAGAACACTTATTACGGCATAACTATAATGGTTAGACATAATAATATGCTGTCGCGACACTTTTTGTAAATAATAATGTGTTCTACAAAGTCGTAGTACATTTTTTTATTCTATCATCAATAGTTTTAGCAGGGCAATTTAGACACCTTGGGTTACATTATTGGAGTTTTAGTAAGGATCACTAATTTTTTTCAAAAAATATTATAGCCATGTCACTCGGGAATAGTGTAGCTTCCAAACAGTGAAAGAATTTTTCAAATCGGTTCAGTAGTTTCGGAGCCTATTCAACAATACAAACAAACAAACAAATCTTTCCTCTTTATAATATTAGTATAGAAGTATAGATCGAAGATAGAATCGACAGCACGAAAATTGTTTTGACATGGAGTAACGTAAATCTCGAAGGCTGTCTGGCTATCGAGTACTACCCCCTAATGTAATGATCCGTTTTCGTAACGTGGACTCTATACATTCGCATTACGAATTTGATAGATTTTCGTGCTTGTGCAGTATAGTTAACATAACTATAAAGGAACTTCGCAGTATACTAAGCTGACGTCACATAATGCTCGCAGTGTGAGAGGAAGAGATATTGTACACAAAAAAAAACAATGCGAAACATTATATACCAAAAAAAAAGGACAATTGGCTTACAAAAAAGTGCATATCGGAACATAACCTTAATTATCAAATTTAAAGAATTTTTTTTTCCTACCTAAGCTGATATAGCCTTGAGAGGCTATTTCAGCGTAACCGTGGCTAGTAGGTGAGCTCACGGGGCTCAAACCTGACGACGTTGCTAACACGGACCCTAGCAAGAGCCATGCTTCGCAGAATCTACCACCGGATCGGAAACGCGACCCACTGAGAAGATCCGGCGAGAAACTCAGTGGGCTGTGTCTGAGGGTTAATTTACTCGTCTAGCCCTTCGTCGCAAGCGACGGGTTCGACGAGAACGGTGACCGGTGCTTGAAGTACCTAGAAGCACCGTTAATGGATCGGGAGGATCCGAAATGTCGTGTTTTGGGCGACGTCGACTGCTTTCCATTCTGTCCGCAGGATCGGGAATGTAGTTACCGGCGGCCACGATGAGAGGGTTCTCGTGTCGTGCCGCTTTATCGAAGTGGAATTTAAAGAGCCACATCGGTTCTAATAAATACAACATTAGTGGACCGCATTATGCACGCGGTAGTCATGAAATTATTGTTCTTTTTAATAAGTTATTATTGGTTTCAGACGTATGTATGTATGTATGTAACGGTATCATTGAACATGATTTTGACCCCCTTCAAAACGTCGGATTAACTTGAAATTTGGCATACTTAATAAGGACCAATGACAATAGATATTAAAAAAATATATTGAAATAATTGACATTCAACTAAAAAATGAAAAATAATAATAGTTAAATACGGTTTTATAAAAAATCCAACTAAGAAATAGTTTTTAAAATTACTTTTTTTTTGTAATTTCATTTTTTTTAATTACAGGTTCCTTTATGGAGCAAGTCGTGGTCGAAGACAACCAACACCGACAGACGATACAGCAGCAGCCTCAGCAGATACATCAGGTGAATATGATGAAGTCGAACTGACACAATTGAGGAGGACATGAGTGGATGAAGGGGATATGATGATACAATTTGGTTAATTTTTAGAAAACGGGCAACCAAATTTTTGTTACTTGTACTTTTTCTTCGTATATAACTCCTTCGTCACATGAAACAAAGCCTTTAAACCCGGAGTTTTAAGGTCTAATTAGCTTTTGCCCGTGACTCCGTCCGCGTTGAATAACGCTAAATTTTAACCCCCACTTCATTTACGTAGAAAGTGATAATATTTTTGAATTATATAATATTAAGGAGGATATTTAAACCCCTACTTTGAAACATTATTTATTGGTGCTCCACTTGAATTATCTTTACCGTGATGTTATATAGACTATATCTTCCTCAATAAATGACACTGAAAGAATTTTCAATCAAATCGGACCAGTAGTTCCTGAGATTAGCGCTTTCAAACAAACAAACTCTTCAGCTTTATAATATTAGTATAGGCATTAAGGTTTAATATGGTTTATAGGCGCATACCACCTTCATTCAATGTAAAAACTCAAAAATCTTAAAAATGGTACTTAACCCCTTCATCCACTCATACCTTCAATTAATTTCGACTTTCAAAGTGAAACTTTTTTGCGTGCATGACGGTAAAGTTTTTACGGATGAAACGAAATAATAATAATAATAGTGGCACGAAAATGTGAGACGCTTTTATCTAAGAGAGAGAGAGAGACTAATGATAATGTAAATAAAAAAAAAAAGATTACGTTTATATATAAACAAAAAACAAATTAACTATATGAAATAACTCTGACATATCCTTGATTCAGAATCATACTGTAGAATTATATTGATTTCGCCCATCATAGTATCAAATCTCATATCAATAATGACACCAACACACCAAACGCCCCCGCCTCGCCGTCCCATCACCACATGCATAAGGCGCGGCCATCTAGTTCCGCGCGCTCATACTTGAGTCGTCTATTATCAAAGGTGGCAATCTGTGCATTTGGACAAAAAAATATTATTGATATGTCAATACAGATTGATTTGAATATAATCGTCTCCTTCAAAGAATACGGTTCAAAACCTGCATTAAATAAAGGTTAATATACTTAACCTGTTATTTATCTAAGATGTCGTTCCGAAGAGTTTTGTGACTGCCAATGGAATATAAAATCAATAATTCGTTTTTCTGATTTACCAATAATTGTCCAAAAGTCACATCGCCGGCTTTGATAATAGTCGACTCAGATACAAGTTCTAGTCTCAGTATAGTTACAACGGCTGCCCCGCCCTTCAAACCGAAACGCATTACTGCTTCACGGCAGAAATAGGCAGGGCGGTGGTCCTACCACCAGTAAAAATTTATATAAAAGTTTATAAATATAAACAAAAATCAAATTAATTATATGAAATTACTCTGACATAATATCCTTGATCCAGAATCATGTAAAATTATATTATTAATTTCGTCCATCATAGTATCCAATCTCATATCAATAGTGACAGCAAATGCCTCCCGCCTCGCCGTCCCACCGCTCACATACTGAAATTATTTAAGGCGCGCTTAATAGCGAAAGGAGGAATATCAATCACATCATTCATTTTTATCGTATATTTCTCAAGTTTTAATCAGACACATTATTTCACTGAGTTTTCAGTGAATGTGCTCCAACAAAAATATTTAATGGTAAGTGGTTACCGTCTTAACCCATAGACATCGACGAAACTAACTCCGCCTCAGTATATGTAGAAATCCGTGTCACATGTCGATGGCGCGAGCTAATTTTTCTACTAGCGCCATCTGTTGACGGCAAACGTAAACATAACGATGGTACTTAGTCTTTGGGGGCTTACAGAATACTCTACCTTCAGTGGTTAGGTACGCTAATTAATTGTGTTACTTCCTACATCTATAACAGGAATTTTGTAAGAAAATGTGTGTTTTGGTACGCCCGATAGAATTGATAACTTAAATTAATCTAAGTTGGAACTATTTATAGAAATTGTTTAACTTGAGTAAAAGCTTAAGTTATATGTCTTATTTATTAATATGATAATGTAAGGAACATTGTAACTATATGATTTTTTACTGGTGATAGGACCTGTTGTGAGTCCGCGCAGGTAGGTACCACCGCCCTGCCTATTTCTGCCGTGAAGCAGTAATGCGTTTCGGTTTGAAAGGTGGGGTAGCCGTTGTAACTATACTGAGACCTTGGATCTCATATCTCAAGATGGGTGACGGCATTTACGTTGTAGATGTCTTTGGGTTCCGGTGACCACTTAACACCAGGTGGGCTGTGAGCTCGTCCATCTATATCTATAAAAATGAATTGCTGTTCGTTAGTCTCGCTAAAACTCAAGAGCGGCTGGACAGATTTGGCTAATTTTGGTCTTGAATTATTTGTCCAGAGAAGGTTTAAAAGGTAGATAAATATGAAAATGCTCGGAATTAAATAAAAATAACAATTTTGTTTTCCCTTTGATGTGTCCCCCGTCGGACGGATTCCTTTTGTTTGTTTTAAGTTTATTTTATACAAAAGTTTCAAGTCTTTTATTTATCGATTGAGGCACTACGCAGTCTGCCGAGTCAGCTAGTGTGCAATAAAAATATAATAATAATTAAAAAAAAAACATGCGATTAACGCGATCAATAACGCTTATTGAACAAGGTGACCTTCAAAGTGTTGGTTGTTCTGGTTTCCAGGTGTCCGGGGTGAGGCAGCAGCAGTACGTCCTGGCGACGCCCGGACAGCAGGCCACGCCCGTGTCTCAGGTACGGAACCAGCGGTGATGATGCAGCAGCCAAAGCAGGGGATCGGGGATTGATTTTAAAAAAAAAATTGGGTCGGCTATGCCCCCAGTATTGCCGATGTCCATGGGCCACTGTAACCACTCACCGTCAATAGGGTCGTATGCAAGTTTGTCTATAAAGGCAATAGAGCAAAAAATTGTACCCAAATAACAAATATTTTAACAATCACCTGTTGTGTTTCTATTTTTTAAACTCAATTTAAAATTCATTTATGTATGTTTGTTTTATGTTATATATGGTTTGTCTTTTTGTATATTTACACTATATTTATTGTTCTATTTACACTATGTCATACATAAAATAGGTTACTGACTCTGTCCTTAGTTTGTCGGAAGAAATCTCATATAACATAATGTGCCTTTAATGTTATTAATATTTTTTAGTCCGCCCTTTAATATCTGCCATTAATATATTTGTTTATTTATTTGTTATTAAACCAACAATACAAAAAATCAACATATCATATTATATACTGAAAAATAGCTAAACTACAAAGACCAAACAAGTTTCCACTGTCAAAATCACATATAAGTAGAAAGTTATAATGGTAGGCAGCGGCTTGGCTCTGCCCCTGGCATTGCTGACGTCCATGAGCGACGGTGACCACTTACCATCAGGTGGGCCGTATGCTCGTCTGCCTACAAAGGCAATAAAAAAAAATACCAGTCAAAAATATATACAGATATATGTTTACAAAAAAAAGAAGAAAAGCAACACAATCTTTATAAAGTAATTTTATCGACTTGTAGAAAATTAATTTTTACTTTTTTTAATTCAGCTAGTCACAAAAGCGTTTTTTCTTTTGGTTTTCTTTTAAACTATTCCTGACTAATGATAATGTCTGTATTTCCAGGTGATATTCTGTGGCGGCGGCGTCGGAGGCGGGCCGGGGGTGTTGACGTCAGTGATGCCCTCCCCCGGTGCCGTGCTCACCCCCCACCACCCGATGCCGCACTGACGCTCCTCGATCTACTACACCGCGAGGGTCGTGCGAGCCGAGACGCGATGCTCACGGAAATACTCAAGTATTCTGAGCATGCTGACGGAAATATGGCCCTCGGGATTTTGAACGGAACGCGTTGCCGATTGTGGTTTTTTAGTGCAAGAATTGTCAGAATTGTTTTTGCATATCGTTGATAATGTTCTCAAGTCGATACCCTCCACAATGAAGATTATGATGATTTGAAACATAGTGATGTTCTGTAATCACATCAAGTGAAGTCATCGGTTTTACTCCAAAATTGGACCAGACCTGAGGAAATGTGGAGCGAATCAGTCAATAACGCACAGTCTTAATATATACTCTTATAAACGTAATGCTCACCGAAATACTAAGACGAGAATCCATTACGCTCACCGCAGCTGGGCAGTATTGAAACTGTGTTTGTGCCGATACGTTACGTACCACGGACTGTGAAATATGTGCTGACGGTTATACCCCTCAATCTGAATATCCGATGCTGACGTTAATACGTTTTCAATTTTATTTATATTATTACAAAGTTACAAATAACATATGGAGTATTAGTGTTAGTGTTTTTTTTTTTTGAATTCTCTTGTACATAAATATGGTGATATGTATTATTATTGGCTAATAATGTTTAAAGATACGCTGATCCGATCTGGGATTGGTTTGTGCATTTTACTTAGTCGTCAGCGTCCCAAATGATAAGTTGTATCTTAAACTGTCTCTGGAGTTGGGTGGTGTATACCGGCCAAATTCAGAGTTGGAAAATACAAGTGAGCTAAGAGAACTTAGCAGGTAAATTACACTCGCATAGTAAGTACTTCTTGATAGTTGAAGAGGTAGATGAATCATATATCTATACTATACTAACGCGATCATTATTAAACATGTTAGATTATTATTGTAGAGATTTGTCGTCAATCATCAGTAAATTAATTAGAGGTATCTTTTTTTATTATTGTTGCCTTTAAAATACATACATAATATATAATATATTAAAAATACTATATTACTACAACAAATATTACAACATTTTTTTTTATACGATACGATATATAAATTAATGAAATTTGTAAATACTATATAATATTATGTTGTAAGTAGACGAATAGTTATGTTGTTTTCATTGGTAAGGCTTTTTATTTTATTATTATTAATAAACTCTTAAGCTATTTCGTTTCATTTGTTTCATTTTAATAATAATAATAACTACTGGTCCCGCAGTAGTCGAAATTCGACTATAATTAAGTGGAATTGTAAGTTTGTACACTATTATGATTGTATTTTATACTTCTATACTCACAAATTTCGCCAAGACTACACTATAGAAAATATTAACAAAAACAAACAATATTTAATCTCAATTTGACAACAGACGTCAAGAACAAAAGTTTGACAATAAATAGTATGCATGCGTGTGTGCGTCAAATACATGGTATGTAGTGTGTGTAATGTTTTCTTTATTGATTTAATGTATCTTTTATGCATTATTTAAAAAAAATATTAGTATTGTGCACTTCTTCTCTATATTCTCTATAAGTGTGGAAAATTTCATATTCCTCCGTCCGCGCAATTTTCGTAAAAAGGGATACAAAGTTTTGCTTCAGGTATTAATATATAGATAATATAACTCTTTATTTAACACCCATATGTACAGAGTAAGCTAATAAAACAAAAGTCGGTGATATAAATTGGCGGCCTTATCGCTGAAAGCGATCTCTTCCAGGCAACCTTGCAGGGAGAGGAATAAGTGAAGTGTTAGTTTATTTTTCATGATAAATGGTATGATAATTATTAATTAGTTTTTAAGAAGGGGTCTGTGGGTAAAACCAGTGACAGAGAGAGTGGAGGGTTATATGAGGTGGCTATTAAAATAAGGAATGTGTATATCAGAGGAAGTGTGAAAGTAGCCCCGGTGATTGACAAATTACAGAGCGGACGGTTAGCGTGGTGTGGACATGTGATGCGTAGAGAGGAGATGCGTGTGACTAGGAGATGTATTGAAATGGTAGTGCAAGGTAGAGGGGGAAGAGGTCTGCCGAAGAAGACGGAGAGAGGAGTGAGTGTTGAGATGACGGCTGATCGAGGTGAATGGAATAGGAAAAATCACTGTGCCGACCCCACCTAGTGGGATAAGGTGGTTTAAGGTGTGTGGCGCATTTACGTTGTAGATGTCTATGGGCTCCAGTAACCCGTTAACACCGGGTAGGCTGTGAGCTCGTCCACCCACCTCAGCAATAAAAATAAAAAAACAAAGAAGAAGACGAGGTTATGGAGGTAAGACCCCGGGTATAAATGTTAGACGGTTATGTGAGAGGGTATTCTAAAACTTGGATGGATTGTATGAGCGAGGATATATCGGAGAAGAGTGCAACAAGAAGAGAAAGAGAGAGAGTATAATTTATTGCAAATCAAAACTTAATTGACATTGAAAAACAGTCTGTAGGCAAGCATATTTGTGCAATAAGCTGTCTTATCGAGATCTCTCTTCCAGAAAACCGTTGCTATCTGGAGAAATTCTAGCTATCCCCTTAACGATAGTTTTCTTATTAACGAAATTCAACAGAACAGCGCAAACGTCCCAACTCCATACAAATTTGAGTTAACTTTTACGGTAGCGAGAACGTTAAAAAACTGGCACTAAACACTGAACACTAAACTCGGGCGGAGATCAGACGTCAGGTGTGAGAGTGCAAGTTGGAGTCGTTTGGTGTGGTGGAGCTCTAAAAATCAATGGGCCCGCGGTCTGCTACCAACATCTGCAGTCACATCCCACGTCTAGGCGCGGATACCTGGTAGGAGATTCGACCCCCTGCCCAAAAAAAATATGCCAAAGCCCAAAAGACACCATACAACCAATAAAACAGTGACAAGTCTGTACATTTTTATATTTCTTAATGTTTACAACCAACTATACAAGTTTCTATATGAAATACAAATTAATCTGTCACCAATAATATCACGAAGAATTGATTTACAATCATGAATTAAAAAACATAAATAAATATTATATAATTTATATATCGAGGGGTGAAAGGCTATTTGGTTTAAGCGATATTTTTGCAACTACAAGAGAGAGCCACTTAAAGTTTAAAACTTGGAAAAAATATCATAACAAAAAATACTTCTTCAGGTATTTGAATGGAGTAAACTTAATTGAAGTTCAATTAAAAACCATCAAACTCTTGTTGGCAATACCAAATAAAACAAGCCTTTAATTACAAAGATAAATAAACCAAATAGTGTATCATCCCTTAATATATATACTGGTGGTAGGACCTCTTGTGAGTCCGCGCGGGTAGGTACCACCAGCCTACCTATTTCCGCCGTGAAGCAGTAATGCGTTTCGGATTGAAGGGCGGGGCAGCCGTTGTAACTATACTGAGATCTTAGAACTTATATCTCAAGGTGGGTGGTGCATTTACGTTGTAGATGTCTATGGGTTCCGGTAACTACTTAACACCAGGTGGGCTGTGAGCTCGTCCACTCATCTAAGCAATAAAAAAATAAAATAAATTTATATAAATTAAATATGAATATGCTTATAATTTAATATGAATTAAATTCAACTTTATAAAACTTAATAATTCAACTTTATCAGTTTCAACAATCAGATTTAATACGATCAATGCTTAATTTTAATTTATGGATTATTAAGAATAATAAAATTATGAACCTTTTGAAAGGACATAGTGTGACACCCATGATACAAAAATATTCAATTTGTATGCTACATTGCTTGTCATTTACATCTGCAGCAATGTAAACGAACCGATGCGCGGGGTCATTGCCCTCGGGCGTACATCAGCTGGCTTCATAAAGGTCAAATATTAACACTAGTGGTCCCGCAGTAGTCGAACTTCGACTATAATTAATTGAAATCATAAGTTTGAACATTATTATGGTTCTATTGTCAAAAACTATTATATTTCTATAGTCACAGATTTCGCCAAGAAAGATAAACAATATTAACTTATTCTCAATTTAACTACAGACTTTAAGCAATAATAAAAGTTTGACAATAAACAAAGACTATGTGTGTGTGTGTGTCAAATATATGGTAGTGTGTGTAATGTTTTCTTTATGGATTTAATATATTTTTAATGCATAATTAAAAAAACATATTAGCCTTCTGCACTTCTTCTCTTTATTCTCTGTAAGTTTGGGAAAATTCATACTCCTCCGTCCACGCAATTTTCGTAAAAAGGGGTACAAAGTTTTTGCTTCACATATTAATATATAGATTATCAGTTTTGTTGCTTTCAAGGAACAAGTTCCGATCTCTATCACGGATCACACAGTTCATATCTCTCTATGCACTCAATCAACCAGCCTATTGGCAGCGCTTTAAGATGCTGCATATTGTACATTGGCTGGTACGTGTCTTTAAAAATAATATAATGCGAACAAATATATAGTTTTCCATCTTTTTTAGCATGATACGGCACCAATTTCTCTTGGTCCGGTATGGATTCCGGGTTGGGCACTCTCCTGAGCACTATACCGCCTGCATCAGTAATCAGCTTGCTTATAGTCGCTTTGGTCAGTACCAGGTGCTTGGATATTTCGTATTTCATATTGAAATTGTGCAGATAAAAGTGGCAGCCATCAAACACTCCTGGTAGTTGCTTGTATTTGTTATAACGAGCTGTTTTAGGGCCTGTAACAAATTTCAAATTATAGTTTGATGAAGATAATATGAAGATGATGTGAAACTAAATAAGGTTCATGTCCTTTATGATTAGAAGCAGTTAGGGAAGTAGCTTGATACATACAATGATTGATTAACTTGATTGATTGATTCTCTCAGAGAAACAGAAATTTTCATCCATGAGTACAGCCAAGGAGTATAGGGTTGTTAAATTATAAATTTAATATTAACAGACAAGGTGGTACACATTAAGATAGCTCTTCAATGCATGATGCTGAAAATTGTTTTGAGTTTGAGTTTGAGTGAGTGCCTGTATTTTGATTTTTTTTTTCATACCTAAGCTGAGAGCCTTGAGAGGCTATTTCAGCGTAACCTTAACTAGTAGGTGAGCTCGCGGGGCTCAAACTTAACGACGTTGCTAACACGAACCCTAGCAAGAGCCGTGCTTCGCAGATTCTACCACCGGATCGGAAACGCGACCCACAGAGAAGATCCGCGAGAAACTCAGTGGGCTGGGTCTGATCGTTAATTTACTCGTCGAACCCTTCGTCACAAGCGACGGGTTCGACGAGAACGATGAACGGTGCTTGAGGTACTTAAAAGCACCGTTAGTGGATCGGAAGGATCCGAAATGACGTGTTTGGGGCGACGTCGACTGCTTTCCATTCTGTCCGCAGGATCGGGAATGGATATTTTGACTTCTTATTGTATTGTATAGAGACAAAAAATATTATTCAGCACTTAGCACTTTATACACACCGCTTTAGTACTGAATATTGTTTTAGATATGGCATATATTTAAAAAAATATTTGGCACTAAAATATTTAACTGGTGGTGAGACATCTTCTGAGTCCGCTTCGTAGGTACCAGCAACCTGCCTATTTCTACCACGAAGCAGTAATGCAGTTCAGTTTGAAGGGTGGGGCAGCAATTGTATTGGAAAAACTGAGACCCAAAACTCATGTTTCAGGGTGAGTGGCGGTAGTTACATTGTAGATGTTTATGGGCTCCAGTTACCACTTAATACCAGATATGCTGTGAGCGTGTCCACTCATCTGAACTTTTTTTTTTATTTGATTTCAAAATTCTTATTTTTAAACAAAGTTAACAGTTAAAATCTCACCATTGTAGGATGCTGTGCCCACTCCAGTAACCTCAAATTGTTCAAACTGCTCCAAACTATCTTCTGTAGATTTCAGGACCCAATCTGACGTTAATATCCATATGGAATTCACGATCCCCTGCAGTACATCTATTGTCGACATACATATACCGTTCTCAGCATCAACGATCAAATGCGTTACTTTTTTTGTAAATTTGACTTCAATATGCAAATTGCTGTGTTGTTTACATAGCAATTTTAGTTTTGATACAACCGACTTCTGCTGAGATACACAATAGACTCTTATATCATCAAAATCTAACTCTGAGTGCAAGATCGACATGTGAGTCACATTAACGGACTGTGTTTGAATCAAACTCTCTGATGCCTTCTTTAATATTATTTTCAAGTCATCTGTAGCTAACTGCAGTGGAGTTTCCCCTTTAGAATTCCTACAGTTTATGTCCGCTCCATGTTTGACAAGTTCTTTAATGATTTCTCGGTGTCCGTATCTGACTGCTTCATGCAATGGTGTCTCATTATTGAGCCCCGGTACGTCAATCAAAGTATTATATTGGAGTAAAAGAGTGACCAAGTCAAGTCGTCCATTTTGAACAACTTCATGTAAAGGCGTCCAACCGGCATTGTCTTTAGTGTTCGTATTGACACCCTGGTTTAATAGTTCGGTGATTTTGTCAACTTTACCTAACCTGCAGGCGATGTGTAGTGGCGTTTCACCTTTATTATTGCGTTTTTCACTGGACTTGCTGAATTTACTGCTGGCTATTGAAATATCGTGGCTTCGGAGCTTTGCCTGAGGTTTTCGGACGTCTGTTAACGTGGTTTTACTGTTAGATTCGATTTTATCTTGTTTTGTCGTAGACGTTTCTTTAGATCTAAAACAACTGAATATCTCGTCTAATTTATTCGCAGAGTTTATGCATACGGCAAGACGTTCGTCGGTGAAGGTTTTGCAACCTTCCAAATTCGTCCCGCAAGACGGACAAGCGTCCAAGCCCTCGAAGTGACTAGCGCATATCAAATGAAAACATTTACTCAAAGTCACTGGATTTTTACAGAGTTCTGAACAGACGCCGCATGTGTAATCTTCTTTGACTGCGTCCAATGCTTTTAAGAAGTTATTTAAGTCTTTAGAAGACATTTTTCTGTCACAATCGTAAAAGTTTAATTAATAGTTCAAAACTTTGTTAGCGCCATATTAAAATAAATTGCCACTAACATTGTTTCTTTTCATTCATCAAAACTTTGACACTGACAGTTATAGTGAGATTGTTACAAAGTCAAGTAGGTACTTTTCGGCCGGAATGAGTGAAGTGTGTCACTTGTTTTATTTTATTTATGAAATAAATATTTCTTCAAGTCAACAGCAACATAGGTAACTTTAGTTTGCTTCAATAGGTGTCAAATAAATTACATACGGTGGCGCCAACGGCTTTAGTATTTTATATCAAAATATAAGATCAAGCTGCATTATGTATCTTCGTGATTCTTGTTCTATTGGAAAAAATTATAATGGTCAGTGATCACTTCAGTAATTAAAATTGACACAAAAATGTCATTAAGAAAAAAAAAACAGGTAAAATTTTGTCTTAGTAGGTACGATTAGTGTCCCCCGGTGAAGGTCAAGGGGCGACCTGAGGGGGTGAGGCCGCGCGGCGCGCTACCAGCACTCTAGCGCGCTGCCGTGGAGTGATTAGAGCGACCGGTCGACGGTGTATCGCGTCCCGACCCGGCAGGCTGGTTCTGGTCCAGCGGGGTATTCCGGGACACCAGCGGCACCGTCTGGGCGGCCCGACGGGCTGCCATACCGAGACGGCCGACGTTTCAGAGCCTTCGATTCGCCTCGAAGGCTCCGTCGGCTGGGCGTCCTTGGGGTGAGCCGCGCCGTCTGGTTGTAGTGTTGACCGCGGTAGCCCCCCTACCTCATCCGGGTTCTGACCTCGGAGGGGATCGGACGTCGGGTGTAAGAGTGCAGGGGAGTCGTTTAGTGGGTGGGTCCTAAAATCCTTGGGCCCGCGGTCTGCTCACAACACCATGCAGATCGTTGAGTCTCACATACCCCGCGCGCCCCTTTTGCGCGGGGACCTCGTAGGAGGTTCGGCCCTCTACCCGAAAAAAAAAAAAAAAAAAAAAAAAAAAAAAAAAAAGGTACGATTAGTGCCATCTGTTGTATAATAACGAAAACTTATATCGAAACAACTGGAACCTCTTTTGAATGTTTTAAAGCATTTTCCAGTGTTTGGGGTGTATAGAGAATGTACTAAATGACCCCAAAAATACTCTTGACATAGAGATTAGTAGTCTAGAACATTTCTTGAATANATGGCTTTTAAAATCACGAAAGAAAACAATAGGATTTAGTTTAGTGTAGGGTCTTTTCTAATTCTTAGAAACAAAACACGTGCATGCGGTAGTCAAAGTCCGCTTCTTCATATTTCTTCAGTTAGTTTGTTACTTATCTATACACAAGACGCACCAAAACTTTGTGGAGTTATTCATGAAACTTTAAAAATGTCACAAAGAAAAAGAAAACAAATTAATATTGAGGAAAGATTGCGTATTATGTAAATATATTTTTCCAATAATTCCCTATCGATTTGTTTGTACTTGCACGATACACATTAAACATCACCGGTTGTTACGACTATCGGTTTTTACGACTGAATATGAGCAGTCCCTTCGATGTCGTTATAACAGATTTTGACTGTAGTTGAAACAACTATAAAAAAACGTTGCTTAAAGACTACAAAAGGGAAGTTATATTCGAAGCGAGCGACGTAATAATTATCTTATTATGAATTACTACTGAATTATTTAACTATTAAGATAGAATTATGACAGTCAAGTCTACTTTGATTTTGCTAGACTGATAGACTGGTACCTTAACGTGTTACGTAACGCGGCGCTTTCCCGTTCCATAAGAATTTATCACTTTAATACCACTTTTTTATTCGTTTTTCTGTATTTTCATAATACTGACTCGTAGCAAGATTATTTTGAATAATTATAATATTAATTATTAAATTTTGTATCCATCTAAATATATCATCTGTATTATGTGCCTACCCACACGTTTATACTTTATAAACTGATAACTCTATTTGTAATCGATGTATCTAACGAATGTTCTTTGTAAAAATAATAACTAATAACGTAGACAAACATTGCAACTCCATACAAATTTAAACTAACTTTTACAACAGTTAACAGAAATTGAAAGGAAGGAAGGAAGAAGGAAGAAGGTTGATCGAAGTCGTATCGACGCGTTTGAGATGTGGTGCTGGAGGAAAATGCTGCGGATTCCCTGGACGGCGCATCGGACAAACGCATCAATCCTCGAAGAACTAGGCGTCTCCTCAAGACTCTCCACCATTTGCTTACGTAGGATTTTAAAGTTTTTCGGCCACGTTGCGAGGAAAAAGGGCGACAATCTCGAAAGACTTCTCATCACCGGCAAAGTGGAAGGAAAGAGGCCTAGGGGGCGTAGTCCCATGCGCTGGTCCGATCAGATTAAGACGACTCTGGAATCCAGCATCAATGTCGCTATCCACTGCGCGGAGGACAGGAGTGAATGGAGAAACATAGTCTTAAAAAAGTGCTCCGTAAAGATTACGACCCTCAGCACTGAGGAATATGACGCACGGAGGAGGAACAGGAATAGGCGGGGTGATGATATCTACCCGTGCGTGCGAGCTCACAACACGCCATACCACCAGTAAAGAGCGTCTTTGGAAAACCAATGAGACCTTTAACACATCTTCCAGATTAAGAGGAAAAACAATGAAAAACCATTCTCATAGAACTTTTTTTTAATGCCCTTCTAAGTTCAAAAAAGGTTTACTTAAATAATATAATCTTATTTTTATTATTATTATCTTAAAATCACAAAAACGACTAGACTTATTAATAAAAACAGAGAAGGTGTCATATTGACGCCGTAAGCGCAAACGAAATCGGTCATCTTCGAGATCTCCCGCTCAAAATTCAATGGTATTTTATCATATGGATGCGTTGCCAACATGGCGTCCGTGGCCAACGTTTTCGTGTTATTGTGGAATATAACGTCCATCTCGTGATTGAAGGCGCCGTACATTGAGAACATCGGGTTGTGGAATGGGGGATGCTTGCCGAACAGTTGGTCCAGTTTCGTCATTACGTTTACGATCTCGTGCCTTCGGCTGTCAGTTACGTTATTGGCGGCGAACACGTGGCCAACGTTGGACCAACTTATGAAGCAGTACATTTGGTTTTCGTCCGGACACAACGGTCTGATGTTGGAAGCGTCCATACTTGGCATTCCTATAAACGAAAATATTTATATTAGTCCTAATATTGGATTGCAGAGGGGCAAGAGGTCGAACGAAGAAGCCATGGATGGAGTGTGTGAATGACGATATGAGAGAGAGAGAGAGGCGTGAGTGTTGAGATGACGGCTGATAGAAGAGAATGGAAAAAAAAATTAGCTGTACCGACCCTACCTAGTGGGATAAGATGGATAAAAAGAGAGTCCTAATATTGGATTGCATGAGGCAATGTTCTTTTGGAGTCCAATTTTGTTTATAATGCTTAGACTAGTAAGCCGTCTCTTGGCTCATCTGATTATAAGTAATACGGTAGACAGCGGCTTGGCTCTGCCCCAGGCATTGTTGACGTCCATGAGCGAATGTAACCACTCACAATCAGATGGGCCGTATAATGGTCGGCTTGCACGGGCAATTAAAAAAAAAGTTGTTACAGAAGATAATTTTACGAGAACTACGTCGCTCATTTTAGCTCATGAGCTTTTAGTCTCAATTGTCTATTATAATGGGTGTACTACTCTACAATTCGGAAGGAATGTAATCTGCTATGTATCGAATGGAGTGCTAGGGGCTCTGGTCAACCGTGAGCACTCATGATCATCCAATATTCTAATAAATTCAGTGTGCCATTTAGATCATAACACAGCGCCACCTATTAGAACAACCTGAACACTGAAACGTGTCACTCAACTAACCCACACCGTCATCTGTTGGAGAATTGCGGACCTCACGGATTATTAGCGACTATTAATTGATATGAAAATTATTATATCTCAGTTTGGACACAGCCAGCAAAATTTGATTTCGATTGCTTCGTAATTCGTCGCGAACAAACAATGCGAGACGACTTTTTATATACATTACTAGCGACCCGCCCTCGCTTCGCTTCGGACACATTAAATTTTATTATTGATAGGCGAGTCCCGCCATGTTGCGCGCGGTACGACAATAACTGCGGGTGACGCCGCGGGGCAAAGCTAGTCTAAAAAAAACCTAAGTTACTCCTTATATCATCAGCTACCTATCAGTGAAATTCCCATCAAAATCGGGCCAGCCGTTCCAGAGATTAGCCGGAACAAACAGACAGACAAAAATTGTAAAAATGTTATTTTGGTGTATAAATGTGGCCTATATATTCATATGCATGTAGTAAAAAGAGGCTATTTCAATATTACAAACAGACACTCCAATTTTATTTATATGTATAGATAGAGTTAATAATAATAGACAAACCTTTGAACAAATTGAAACTATTAATACTGACGAAAGCAACATCAGTTTTGCCTTCAGCGAGGTAGCGGAGGGGATCCATCTCCCCTTCTTCGTAGCAATCCTTTAATTTGCCACCGGGATTCTGATCCCCGACACCCGGAGCGCAGATCTCTTCGAAATACTCTCCGACGAGATCGCTGCAGGTGATCTTTTGATTTTCAGTAATGTAGCGCAGTACGGAATGCCAGGCGGCGCCATCGTGGCGAGGGAACGCCGCCTTCTTACCGCGCAAGTCCACCATACTGCTTATTTCTGAATCCTTTCTGACGTAAGCCACAACTGTGCTCGTTTTCTCGACGATAGGTGTCGCTTCGTGCAGCACCGGCGCTATAGACAAATCTCTGTGAATCAGAAAACACAGACGACTCAAATAAGAGATTGGTAAATGTGCTCCTGGTAGAGCGTCATATGAATACCAGCTCGGATAGATATCGATTGCCAATTTCTGTTGCTATGCAGTAACGCCTCTCGGTTTGAAGGGCAGGGCAGTCGTTGTACTGTCAAAACTGAGACCTTAGAACTAGGGTCTCAAGATGGGCGTCGGTATTGACAGGTTATTGAATGTGGGTTTGAATGACCACCCAACACCAAGTGGGCAATGACCTCGCCCATCTTACCATTAAAATAGTACATGACAATCGACTGTACCATGTATCGTAAGAGCTAAGATTTTCAGACCGATCACATCACAATAGCTTTGGTGACAAATATCAGTGTATCTATACTAATATTATAAAGAGGAAAGATTTGTTTGTTTGTTTGTTTCGAATAGGCTCCGAAACTACTGGACCGATTTGAAAAAATATTTTTCCATTAGAAGCCGACATTGTCCCTGATGAACATAGGCTACTTTTTTTTTTTTTTTTTTTTATTTCATGTGTGTTTTAATGTTTCCGAAGCGAAGCGAGGGCGGGTCGTTAGTAGTTTAAATAAATTTAAATCCTATAGAAATAGGTCGTAGCGATGATGCGTAAATACCTATATTACTCATCATCCTAACGATACACTCGCAACTAAAAAGCGGTACAGATTAGTCGGTCTAGATTAGACCCTTTGTATTCTCAAAACTATTGCACATCTGACTTCAAGTTTAACTTAAAAATGGAAAATCAACGGACTGAATAATGGTTCCCAGAGGCTTAAGAATCATTCTAGTTCAAGAGCAATGAGAAATATTTTATCCTTTGCGACAATCTAGCTTCGTTGGTATCTAATATATAAAATTCTCGTGTCACAATGTTCGTTCCCATACTCCTCCGAAACCGCTTGACCGATTCTCATGAAATTTTTTATGCATATTCAGTAAGCCTGAGAATCGGCTACTATCTATTTTTCATACCCCTAAGTGATTAGGGTTGTCCACCCTTAAATATTTTTTTTTATTTGGACATTTTTTTTGGTGTAATGAGCTATTATGTGGTTGAATGAGGTTTTGTTATTTTTATTATATATTCCCTCATCGTTCACAGCACTACATACCTCTTTCACTCATTTACCACATCCTTACACGCTTACAATAAGTTAGTTTTTTTTTCTACACTAGAAATTCCCTAGAAATCTTATATATGGCAAAACAATGTTTGCCGGGTCAGCTAGTGTAATTATAATTCCATCCTGAGATAGAACCAAAATTTTATTAAAGTGCCATTTCTGCTGTATATGATTTGCTCAGTGTCTAATTTTAAATGAAAACAATATTTCGTATTTTCAGGTTCAAATTCATTCAAATTAAAAAAAAAAAAAAAAAATTCATGAGATGCTTGTATTTATAGAACATACCTTTTCCCTTTGACAAGCCAGTCGCTGTTCCCAACTGTGACGTCAGACTCCCCAGTGCTGACCGACTTCATACACTCTTGCATGTCTTTTCTAACTACGCACTGAAGAGGTGGGGCTATACCGTAGACAGCTCCGGCTTCGCTAAGCCACTCGCATTTCGCCTTCGCCAGAAATGATGTAGTGCATAGAGTAATGAACCTATCGAAGTATCGTCAATGTAAATTTTAGATTAATTCTTATTTTCATTTTTATTATTAAAAATATTCATTAAATATTACTTTTATTAGGTTTTTTACAGGATCAAATAATTATTATAAGCTTCATACGTATTACTATTAAGAAAACACTAAATAAGTAACTAATCTTCTGATCTCGAAATTTGATAATAACCCGACGTCATATCAAGTTGTACGATATAGTGTATTTCACTAAAGCGGTTTATTCTAATAATAATTTTAATTGAACTGTTGTATTTTATATTAATTGAACTTGTAGCTAAAAGCTAACAATAGTAATAGTCTGAATGACTGCTTATATCACCAGACGTAAATTCAATGGGTTAAGTATTTTGGAAAACTAGCTACATATTAAACAGTTATTTAATTATATTCTTGTGTACCTGGGAGGATCACATCCGGTTTGACTATACGCCTCTCTAAAGCCCTTGGCTCTGGCCAAATAATCCAAAGGAGCTTTAGGAGGTTGAAGCTTCTCGGGCTGAGCTTGGTGGATCTCCATCAGAGCGGCCAGGGCCCCGCGCCAATGCTGGTCCACCGTGATGCTGGTGTTCGTTAAGATTCTGTCTAAGCTTGCTACTGCTTCTGCGGCCTTCCTACAATGATGTATTGTTAATTTTCCATATGAACGGAGGATAAATGAAGATATTTTCATTAGCTTCGATGTAGAGACAATTAATAAAAGCAACTGATGTGCTCAGGTATTCGATTTTTGTTGTACGGAAAATCACAACGAAATTTTATTATTTATATTACAAATTTAGATTATTATGAAATTATATACCATAATAATGTTTTTTTGTTGTTATAATAACCGTGGATTCTTAAAGATTTTATACTATAAAGGCATCGTGACATCTCTTGATAAGAAATGAACATTAACCATGTCACATCTGTGATAAGTGTTGTCGTTAATTAAAAATATTTAGTATTTTAATGGCTTAGTATGTAGTCGAGAAGACTTTCCATCGAATAAGGAATGATCAATTTTAGTAAAAAAAAAACCAATGACAAATCTTTAAATTTGGAGTAGATGGCTCACTGGAGTCACGCTCTGACTGACTATGTAATTAATTTCAACGCATCTAATAAAAGTAGAGGATACTGATTGTAAATATTAAAGAGAAAAAACAATTAGTAAAAGACTTACTTTTTAGCGACAATTACTGGCCAAGGTCTGTGCAGCCAGACGCAAGGCTCAGGATTGTTATTGAGGTCCTGCCAGGTACCGTCTCGGCAGAGATACGCGAACTGATCAGCTGCAGAACTGGGTGGGTTTGTCGAGGGTGTGAGCTGCAATAATACATATGTATGACCATACAGGCTTAGAGATATCACCTAACGGTCTAAAATGTAGTTGTTCGCAACTTATATTTATGTAACCTTATCTTTAATATGTCATTTCTGGCATCTATCTTCTATAATAGCTATCGCTACAAAGAGCTATTCGCGACAGCTCTTAGGAGATTATAACTTTTGTGGTATGGAACACCCTCCAATAGCTTTAAAAGTCTAAAGTCCTCACGTCTCAAATGGCACTCATATTTTAAGGTCTATGTTTTTTTATGATTGACATGATATTTTTTTTATTGCTTAGATGGGTGGACGAACTCACAGCCCACCTGGTGTTAAGTGGTTTCTGGAGCCCATAGACATCTACAACGTAAATGCGCCACCCACCTTGAGAAATAAGTTCTAAGGTCTCAGTATAGTTACAACGGCTGCCCTACCCTTCAAACCGAAACGCATTACTGCTTCACAACAAAAATAGGCAGGGTGGTGGTACCTAGCCGTGCGGACTCACAAGAGGTCCTACCAACAGTATGATGATATGATTAATGGTGGCCCGATAGCCTTTCCAGTTTCACCAGGGCAGGTGGGCGAACAAAGGCTCAGCGGTGCGAGGTGATGCCTACAAATTTCGACAGCCACTTAAATAGCCTTGAACGTATAATATGAGTACCCGCAAAACTACCTCAGCGACTTCGAAAACGCCGCAAATATTTAACTCACCGCAAAATACGAGTTAACATCGTCCAGTTCCGCCCAAGTGACGTCACCGGCTCCGTTCCCGAGGCACGCGAGAGCGCCGCTGTTACCCCAGTACACGTCCGAAGCGCTACACTTGGATGGGTTACCGCAGGCCGCGCACATTGACGAATATTTACGCTCTGAAAAATATTCACCGGCATTATAGTCTGGCCATCGAAAGAATGCGTATTTGGCGTGTTGATTATAATATGCGAACTGCTAATGGTTTTGACAAAATATACGCTGCTATTCCGCCTGAGATAGAAGTTTTATCATCTAATCCTAACACAGATGGAAATTCATGATTGTATTTCTAATTTGATGCAACATAGACTTTCGTCGATTGCTCAGCTACGAATTCTCAAGTTCTTTGGCCACACGTCCAGAAAGGAAGATTTGATGGAGAGACTTGTCATACAGAGCCGTGTAGAAGGCGGAGGACCTCGAGGTCGATACCCCATGCGCTGTATTAATATCATCACCAGCACTATGAAAGCCTGCGAACTGCGAACAACTGAAGAGATAATAGCAAGAAGTAGAGAGAAAGCGGCTGGAATTAGTCAACAGAAGGGATGTGGTTTTTCATCATGATAACGCTAGACCTCACACATCTTTAGCCACTCAACAAAAATTAAGAGAGCTTGGCTCTCCCAGCCAATGTCAATTTATCCGCCGTATAGTCTTAAGTCAAAGAGTCCAGTATGTGCTCGCAATGCCAACAGCCGCCTCCAATGGAGAAGCATCGCTCGAAGTGCGACTGCCTTGGAAGCTAGCGGCGACGATGAGATGCAACCCTGTCCCTCGACAGCCACGACTACTCTGCCAAGAGTATCCGACTGTGAAGAAGACTCTAGCCACGCGCTACATATGTGATACTTGACGGTATTTCAACTAAGCTCGAGACCATGATGTTTTTTTAAGGGATTTTATGACCTGGTAATAAAGACCTTTAAGTCATGTCTTATTTTAATTTATATTCTTATTTTTATGAAAAATGATAATATGGAATGAAATAAAATGAAATGAAATGAAATTGATTAATTTGAGACATTAATCAACTGGGATGAAATGATATGGGATGAAATATAATCTCAGTAAAATGGTGGTCATTTACTAAGATTTTTTCAGTGGACTTTTTGGAGGATCCCGAGAAGTTACATCCAGCGGCTTTGCTTTTCATTTTCCCACATTAGTGCACTTTCGGAGATATTAAACAGTTAATAAACCACCGTTATTACACATTTAAACTCGAAGAAACACTAAATAGACAAAATAAAACAATTCACACAACTTCACTCCTGGCGTTCCCGCCAAAAAGTCAGACCATGATGAAGAAAAGGCCGATAGGGGTGGTTCTGTTACTTACTAAGTTCAGCGTCTCTGGTGCTGTCTGGTAGCCACGCCCCCGCCTTGCAGGCCTTCCCGAAGTATTCGGACAACGACTTCACTCTGTTCTCGGTCAGCGACAGATCCGGATCGCAAGATCTCTCCAATACTAGAGATTCTAAATACTGTAAAAGATCAATCGCAATCGCAATCAGTCGATTTGAAATGACTAGAGGTCCCGCAGTAGTCGAAATTCGACTATAATTAATTGGAATTGTAAGTTTGTACTCTGTTATGATTGTATTTTATACTTCTATAAGCACAAATTTCGCCAAGACTACACTATAAAAAATATTAACAAAGACAAACAATATTCTATTCTCAATTAGACAACAGACGTCAAGAACAAAAGTTTGACAATAAATAGTATGCATGCGTGTGTGCGTCAAATACATGGTATGTAGTGTGTGTAATGTTTTCTTTATTGAGTTAATGTATTTTTTATGCATTATTTTATAAAAATATTAGTATTGTGCACTTCTCCTCTATATTCTCTATAAGTGTGGAAAATTTCATATTCCTCCGTCCGCGCAATTTTTGTAAAAAGGGATACAAAGTTTTTGCTTCACGTATTAATTTATAGAGATACTGATAAATGTATTTATCGAGTGTTGAAAGGCTGTTTGGGTTGAGCGAAATTTTAATAATTTCACAGGAGAGTCGTTTAAAATTTGGAAAAAATATTTTAACAAAAAAGAAACTTCAGCTATTAGAATGGAGTAAACTTAATTGAAATTCAATTAAAAACATCGAACTGTCGATGCTAATACCAAATTATTATTTTTTATTGCTTAGATGTGTGGACGAGCTCACAGCCCACCTGGTGTTAAGCGATTACTGGAGCCCATAGACATCTACAAGGTAAATGCGCCACCCACTTTGAGTTATAAGTTCTAAGGTCTCAGTATGGTTACATCGGCTGCCCCACCCTTCAAACCGAAACGCATTACTGCTTCACGGCAGAAATAGGCGGGGTGGTGGTACGTACCCGGCGGACTCACAAAAGGTCCTACCACCAGTAATTACGCAAATTATAGTTTTGCGGGTTCGATTTTTATTACACGATGTTATTCTTTCACCATGGAAGTCAATTGTGAACACTTACTCCGCCCGGGCTATCACAACCGGAGGATCGGCCGCTTGGGCGAGAATGGAAGGGAGTCGTTTTGTGGGCAAAACTATAAATTTTACTGCCGCGGTCTATTGCCAACGTAACTGCACGGAAATCTCGAAAAAATTCGGCCCCCGGTGCAAAAAAAAGTCTGTTACCCCGGACAGGGTGTCGCTTAGGGGCCGGATGTCATCGACCCCGACTCCCGGATGGCATAGCGTTGTATTCCGGAGCACCGCGTGGACCGAAGTGGAACTATCCGGCAGGATCTTTCTGTTCACTACCGCCACGACGCTGCGTTCGAAGGGTCCTGAAACAAATGAGTTAAGCTTCGGTTTTCGAAGTGAAACTTCTGTAGGCGCATCGAAAGTAAAGGACTTTTTTTTTCCTACCTATGCTGATAGCCTTGCGAGGCTATTTCAGCTTCACCCTAACGTGTGTAGGTGAGCTCACTCAAACCGGAGTGTTGCTAACACTGACCCTAGCAAGAGCAGTGCTTCGCAGAATCTACCACCGGATCGGAAACGCGACCCACTGAGAAGATCCGGTGAGAAACTCAGTGGGTCTATGGGTTAATTCGCTCGTCGAGCCCTTCGTCGCAAGCGACGGGTTCGACGAGGACGGTGACCAGTGCTTGCGTCGAGAGTAAATGACAATGACCACATATGTATGGAATTCCGTCTTAAGTTGTTGCACAATAAATCTTTATTTATTATAGACTACGCTTTATGTAATATCGAATAAAAGTTTTCGCTTCCTTAAAATTAACCGAAATAACCTATAAATAATGTTTAACCCATAAACAAATACATATTAATCATAGTTTTCACATAGCGACTCCTCAAGCATCGACATGATTACAGAAGACTCAAGAGTTTATAAACACAACATATACAGGTTCGTTACGGTTAGAGAAAAAAGATACAATTTAGGTAGAGCGAGAGGGAGAGAGTAGACAGGGCGTCTCGCGAACCGCTCGACCGTTGAGAGAGGGAAAGGACAAAGTGAGTTAGGTCGTTTCTCTTATACACAGTATTCTCTATTACAAGAGAAATTTTTCAATTCATTTTTTCCAACAACCTCAACGCGGCCTCAGACGTATCGTTTGATACGCAAATTTTTTTTTTTAGATTGGTGGACGAGCTCACAGCCCACCTGGTGTTAAGTGGTTACTGGAGCCCATAGACATCTACAACGTAGACGCACCACCCACCTTGAGATATAAGTTCTAAGGTCTCAAGTATAGTTACAACGGCTGCCCCACCCTTCAAACCGCAACGCATTACGGCTTCACGGCAGAAATAGGCAGGGCGGTGGTACCCACCCGCGCGGACTCACAAGAGGTCCTACCACCAGTAATACATGTATGTAGAGTCTAACATCATAGGGTTGCAATGGAGGGTCTATAACAGGAACTTACTGGCTCTCATCCGTAGTTCGTTGGTGACCAGAACGTCAACGTTGGCCCATTGCGCTGCGACCAGATCCTCGGGGCTGAAGACGCCGAAGTCAACGGTCCCCTTGTGGATGCGGCGGAGACAGTCCAGCCTGAGGACGTATGGGAGAAACATTAAGCATACATTACGATCCGAAATACGAATCCGTTGTTAATAATGCTAAAGGAAAACCGGCTTCAAAGGAAATCGAAGGCAATTGAATATACATTGACAGCCTTGTAGGTCACCAGTGCCCTACACGGCGCACTGAAGTAATTACGTCGATTTCTGTAACTAAGTCGTCATGGCTTAAGGGATAAGACGTCCGGTGCATTCGCGATGAGCGACGCAACGGTGTTCAAATCCCGCAGGCGGGTACCAATTTTTCTAATGAAATACGTACTCTACAAATGTTCACGATTGACTTCGTCAATTAATAATAGGTCTTTCCGTATGAAATGAAGCCATCAGCGCAAAAGAGGCCTAAACTTACCATGGAGGTTTGAATTCTTTTACACTGCCTACCAGGCAAAAACAATACGTGTAAAAATAATGTTCACAAAGCCATCTGTAATTTATGGGTAGAGCTAGAGATAGGCCAATTTAGCATCTAAATTTATTATCTTTTAAATACGTTGAAATATCTAAACGCGAATATGAAAAATTATGGGTTAGGCCACTTTTGGCAAACGAAGGGCGAATCGAATTCAATGACGTCACACGTAAAATATGCGACCTCCAAAAATGTCCTAACTATGGAGGGTATAGGTAAGGAGAACCATCTCTGTTGTGAAAAAGTGTTCGTCAAAATCTGCTAAATAAGGGTGGCGCTACAATAGCAACCGGGTAAATTTCAAAAAAGGCACTGAAAGTTATTGGAATAAGATTTTTTTTTTTTTTTAAAGAGGACGAAAGAACTGTAAGCACTACAAAATCACCAAAAGTATCTTATTTAAAGCTGATAAGAAACTGCAATCGATGTCTCAACGTTTGCCCACAGCAATAATTTTAAGTTAACTATATTGACGAAATTATTTTGGACTACGTAAACATGTGAGGTCTTGTACATTACCTGTAACTAACTACTCTAGTCATTAAATATATTAAATTTCCTAACTCAGCATGTTTCAATCAACTGCTCAATTCATATGTCTAAGCTAGCGCCATTCTGGAGAATTTTTAGACCGTTATTTAGTGCTGAAAGTGGGACACTTTAAATTTTCTCCCATATGAGACGGTTCTCCTTACCTCTACCCTCCATAGCTCTCTCCATTCTTCTTGCTTGGGTTTCCTCAATACTGAGGGTCGTGAGCGTGACCACCTCTTCGCGACAGGAGTTTATTACGTACCATTCCACGCCATTTGCCTCTATCTGCCGCCGAGTGTAGAGCATCGTGAACTGTGATGTCGAAGGTAGTGCGGATCTGGTCAGTCCAACGTGTTGGGCCTCTACCTCGCGGTTTTCTTCCGTTCACCTTGCCAGTCAGTCCATAGTCCTAACCACCAGTAAATCGAACAACTCACCTGTCGGTTCCAATGACGCACTCCGCCCCCGAATCCTCGGCGTCCAGCACGGGACAGAACTTGGGGGCCCGTTTGTACGAGCCGCGGCCTTCGACAACGCACAGACGCACTGCAACAAGAGACGTGTGAAAGATCGTATTTTTAATGATAGTTGCCAGACTCTTTTTTTTTATTGCTTAGATGGGTGGACGAGCTCACAGCCCATCTGGTGTACGACGTAAATGCGCCACCCACCTCGAGATATAAGATCTAAGATCTCAAGTATAGTTACAACGACTGTCCCACCCTTTGAACCGAAACGCATTACTGCTTTAAGGCAGAAACAGGCAAGGCGGTGGTACCTACCCGTGCGGACTCACAAGAGGTCCTACCACGAGTAATTACGCAAATTATAATTTTGCGGGTGGTTTGATTTTTATTACACGATGTTATTCCTTAACCGTGGAAGTCAATCGCGAACATTTGTTGAGTACCTATTTCATAAGAAAAATTGGTACCCGCCTGCGGGATTCGAACACCGGTGCATCGCTCAACACGAATGCACCGGACGTCTTATCCTTTAGGCCACGACGACTTAACCTCTATGGGAGTATAACAGCAAAAGGAAAGATCTTCCACCGAGCGGGTAATATTGCTCGGTAGACCAACAGCCTGAATGTTGTTTATTTTTTTCCTACCTAATCTGATGGCTTTGAGAGGCCATTTCAGCGTAACCCTAACAAGTAGGTGGAGCTCACGGGGCTCAAACCTAATGACGTTGCTAACACTAGCCATAGCAAGAGTAGTGCTTCGCAGAATCTACCACCGGATCGGAAACGCGACCCACTGAGAAGATCCGGCGAGAAACTCAGTGGGCTGTGTCTGGGTTAATTTAGTCTCCCAGCCCTTCGTCGCAAGCGACGGGTTCGACGAGAATCCGAATGTTGTTGTTCGGAACTTGTACACATGCCAGCTTATCTTGATAATATCGTAAGCGAGATTCAGGTGCCTGTCAAATATCTTGCCAATAAGACAGCCCACTGAGTTTCTCGTTGGATCTTCTCAGCGGGTTGCGATTCCGATCCGGTGGTAGATTCTGCGAAGCACTGCTCTTGCTGGGGCTAGTGTTAGCTAATTCTCTCAGGTTGAACCTCGTGAGCTCACCTACTTCTTAGGTTACGCTGACATAGCCCCTCAAGGCTTAGGTAGGAAGAAAAAAAAAGCTATGCTTAGTTTAAACAGTTACGTATTAAAACCTAAAAATAGTTGAACATTAATAAATATTTACTAACAATCACGCCACGTTAACTGGTCCCGTGATAAGTTCGTAAAGAACTTGTGTTACAGGTACTAGATAACGAAAATAAATGTAAGATTTTTATTATACACATACATATATTTAATATACATCCATAACCCTGGAAAATACATTTATATTTATCATACAAATATCCTCCCTTGGCGGGATTCGAACCCGCGACCCCCTTGTGTAGTGACCATGTCACTTACCACTGCACCAGACGGCCGTTGACATTGACTCATTACTGTCAGCGATGAAGCGAAGGAAATTAATTTGTGTAATTTAAATGTACCGTTATAAGTTTTAAACAGATTTTTTGATGGGTGCTTTATAATATAGAAATGTTCTAGCTATGTTTTCGCTTATTTGATAAAAATACTATAATTAGTTTCCTTTACTTCATACCTATATAAGATGTTAATATTTGAAAATCTTGCGTGTGAAAATGGTACAAAAAAAAATACATTGTGATTTTCATTAATGCATTTTATAAACATTCGTTTTAATTTGGCAGCATAATCCTTCAACTTTGCCAACCTTTTTGTATAAAGTTACATTTAATTACATACATTTTTTATTAAGCTACATTAGAAGCTCATAAACTCAAAAAAAATACATTAGAAGCAAAAAAAAAAATACGTCATTATGACATTGAATTTTCAATATGGCTTCCGCATTGAAATTATGCAGTTTTTTATTTATTTATTTTTAGGCATTACGTACTACAAGTGATGTTTTTAGATAGATTTTTAGATTAGATACGTATGCACCGGACGTCTTATCCTTTAGGCCACGACGATTTAATTGAAGGATTATGAGCCCGCACGGGTAGGTACCACCGCCCTGCCTATTTATGCCTCTAAGCAGTAACGGTTCGAAGGATGGGGTGGCCATTGTGATATAGCATTGTTGACATTAACGTTGTTGATGTCCAAGGTCATCGGGATTGAATTAATAACGGGCGCGAAATATGAATAAAAAATTTATATCTATCTATATATAAAAATGAATTGCTGTTCGTTAGTCTCGCTAAAACTCGAGAGCGGCTGGACCGATTTGGCTAATTTTGGTCTTGAATTATTTGAAAGTCCAGAGAAGATTTAAAAGGTAGATAAATATGAAAATGCTCGGAATTAAATAAAAATAACAATTTTGGTTTTTCTTTGACGTGTCCCCCGTCGGACGGATTCCTTTTGTTTGTTCTAAGTTTATTTTATACAAAAGCTTAGGTCTTTTATTTATCGATTGAGGCACTACGAAGTCTGCCGGGTCAGCTAGTTAAGAATATAAAGCGTGTATGGTTCGGGACGCCTGCGCGCCCAACAGAAGTGAAGTGATAACTTAAACTAATCTAAGTTGAACTATTTAACATTGAAATTGTTTAACTTAAGAAAAACTTAAGTTATTACTTAAATTTTATATATATTAATATGATAATGTAACCAAATATTTAACATAAATTGAAAGAGATATATTTAATACTATATAAACTATTATCTGTATGTATGTATGTATGTGTGTATATATGTATGTATGTATGTATGTATATACTTTTTGTAACTTAATATAAATTTCATTGCACCTACCACTATCCACTCTGCACTACCTTCGGTTGACTGGTAGAGAATGCCTTAGGCATTAAGTCCGCCAATGTAAATTTTACATGAAGTGTAATAAATAAATAAAAATAAATAAATAAATAAATAGTTAGGAGCTACATACGTTCTCACTACCGCTGCCGTATGCGTGCGAGAAAGAGACGCTAGACGGACTGGCGCCGTAACGCGTTACGTAACGACACGGTTGATCCTCCCATTAAAAGTTATCACTTCAAAAAAGATCGACGGCGAAAACTAAGTACTCTAAGTAAGTATTTTTCTAATGAAATACGTACTCGACAAATGTTCACGAGTGATTTCCACGCGTGAAGGAATAACATCGTGTAATAAAAGTGAAACTCGCAAAATTATAATTTGCGTAATTGCTGGTGGTAGGAGCTCTTTTGAATACGCGCGGGTACCTAGGTACCACCGCCCTGCCTATTTCTGCCGTGAAGCAGTAATGCGTTTCGGTTTGAAGGGTGGAGCAGCAGTTGTAATTGAGACTTTAGAACTTATATCTCAAGGTGGGTGGCGCGTTTACGTTGTAGACGTCTATGGGCCCAGTATCAACTTAACACCAAGTGAGCTGTGAGCTCGTCCACCCCTCTAAATAAACAAAAATATGTTAAAAACTTTAAAATCTATCGTGCTCAAAGTAACATTCATTATTAAAGGCAATGCAATGAAGGCGGATAACGCGGGCCACGCAGCGAAGCAATGTTTTCCTGCTAAACGACCGGTTCTTGGGTGTATCGCAGCATACGGCGGATGTTAACGATGTTAATAATAATAATACAAGGTTTTAACGAAAAGCAATATAGTCGAAGTCAATTGAATATGCATTAATAAGGATAACTCAAATACTACGGGTCGGATCTTGAGACAACTTAAATAGGGACCACACGAAGAGTATCGGCTATGAAATAAACGAGTAAATCATCTAAATGACATATCCAGAAAAAGGTTTTGAAATGATACAAAAAAAATACGAATCGAGATCCTCCTCTTTCTTTCTAAGTCGGTTAAAAACACACAGTCAATATGGGCACCTCCTCTTTTTCTGAAGTCGGTTTAAAAGGACCGTCGAATTGAGAGCATCCTCCTCTTTTGAAGTCGGTTAAAAACACAGTCAATATGGACACCACTTCTTCTAAAGTCGGCTTAAAAATCCAGTCGAATTGAGAACTTCCATTTTACAGTAAATTTGCCGATCTACTCTTTTTAATAAGTCGACTTAAAAATCCAATCGAATTGAGAACCTCCTCCTCTATTAAGTCGGTTAAAACAACATCAATTTGCTCACCTACTCTTTTTCAGAAGTCTTCATAAAAATCCAGTCGAATTACCAACCTTCTTTTCTAAAGTCGGTTTAAAAAAATCCTGTTTTCTGACATGGTCGAACTGTCAAGGTCTTGTAACCGGCTTTTAATCTTTTGTTATTAATTTATCGCGTCGGCTCTGTTCGCATCCGTATTTACATGCGGGATGTTAATTGCACATCATTATGAGTCTCTCAAGAGCTTTCATAACGTATTTCCCTCAGTGATTTTGTCCCATTAACGGAAAGGCATCCTGTAAGCCCGTACAGGTTTGTACCAAAGCTACACCTAAATCTGCTGCCTAGCAGTAATGCGTTTTAGTTTGAAAAGCGGCCCCCTAGCGCTGAGACTTCCAACTGGTATGAGTTGCCAAGTAACCTTTATTCGAATGCGGCTTAGAAGAAAAACCCTTTGTCAAATCAAATACAAATGCTTTTAACCTTTGCCAAATACTTTTAGAAAATTATAAAAAAAAAACCACAACTGACAGATAGAATGTCATATTAACATGGAGGGTGGAATTGAGGACTTCAGCGCAAAAGCGGCTTAGCCCACAATTTTTCATAATCATGCTTATATGTATATTTCAATTTATTTAAAACTAGCGGCCCGCCCCGGCTTCGCTTGGGAAATAGCGCACCCGATGTAAAGAATTTTTGGTATTTTTTTTACACATTTGGTTACATTATTGGAGTTTCAGTAAGGATCCCTATTTTTTTTGAAAATATAATAAATATAGCCTATGTCACCCGGGGATACCGTAGCTTTCCAACAGTGAAATAATTTTTTTAATCGGTTCGGTAGTTGCGGAGCCTATTCAATACAAACAAACAAACAAATCTTTCCATATGTTATAGTATAGAAGTATAGATATAATCAATTTTGATGCAAAACCGGCCTATCCATAGTT